CAAGCAATTCTGTGCTTAGCCAGACACTGAGTGGATCCCTGGGTGAGCTCAAGGAAAGCAAGGTCAATCTGGGCCTCCAAAGGGCAGTTTGATGCCAGGCAGAGCAAATTGGCTGCTAGCCTGGTAGAGCTTACAGGCTCCATGATACTTGCTGTGCCCCCCCCCCCCAGTCCCTTATAGACTGTGCAGGTTCCTCCAGTCCAGGCCTGTTAGCCTTTCCCAGAATGCCCTTCATTCCCCTTCCCCATCCATCCTCACAATAGACACCTCCTTCCTTGGGCACAGTCTTCCTCCAGTGGTCTAGAAAGGCTTCTCAGGTTTCCTCACTACACAGTCGCCCAGACAGCAATACCTGAGCTCAAGTGCAGCCTCCCACAGGTGCATGCTGTGATCTTGAGTTGTCACTCATCTGGGAACTCTGCCTTGGTGGCACATCCTCTTGGCCATGAGGCACAGCTGGCGGCTGGATTATTTGAAGCCACATCTCTGCACGGGAGCGTGTGGGTGGGACCCACAGCTTGAGGATGTGTATTTTAGGAAGGACACCTCTGGGGGTGGTGAGTGGAAGTGGTGAGTGATCATAATAATTTGCAAGGTCATGCAGGGGCTGAGAGCTGCTGAAGGGTCAATCGGCACCACACCTCCATCTCCCGAGGAGACGTGTCGACCGACAACCCTGCATCACAAGCCCTTTAGCTGGGCCAGGGCTGTGACTTTACACTCCTCAACATGTCTCCTTTTGTTCTTAGTTCACAAATCCCTAGCACCACCCTTACCCCATTTGTTCCGCAGAGCAACTCTGTGCTTTCTGAGGCTCAGAGAAGTTTGTATCTTGAATAAGATCACACAGCCACAAGTGGCAGAAGAGTCCCTTTGACCATGAACTGTCTGATGCTTTCCTTTGCTTGTATTATAATAAATAGCAGTAGCTCCCATTTCCTTTGTCCTGGATTTTCCACTGTCCTCTGGTCTTCCCTGGGGTAGGCCCCTCCTCATCACCCTGTGGAATCCTAAGTCCTTTGTAGCAGCCCATCTGTTGCCATGGCACCAGATTATGATGTCGCAGACCCTGGATGACTATGTATCACTCCTGCAGTGTGGAGTACAGAGACTCACAGAGGTGGGCATTGTCCACGGGGCAGACTGGCACAGAGGGGCATAAATCCCTGGAAACAGAGAACCACAGCCTGGAGCCCAGCTGGGGAATTACCCTGGGAACCAAAGCCAAGGCCAGGAGAGTAGGGTCTGGCATGGCCTGCAGTGATAGCCCTGACCGACTGCTTGGCCTCTTCTGTGGCAGGGCTGAGCAAGCCTGGTTATGCTAGAGGGATCCAAGGATGCTGAGCTTATTCACTGCGTTCTTTTTTTTTTTTTTTTTGGTTTTACGAGACAGGGTTTCTCTGTTTTGGAGGCTGTCGGTCCATCCTGGCCTCGAACTCACAGAGATCCGCCTGCCTCTGCCTCCCGAGTGCTGGGATTAAAGGCGTGCGCCACCAACGCCCGGCATTCACTGCGTTCTTTTGTCTTTTGTCCTAAGGCAATGCTACACAAGACAGCCACCTCCCTACTGACTTAGAGACAGACTGCTCTTAGTCACCTAGTGAAGAGATGGCCATGCCAGGACTCACCTTAAGCTCCTGTGCCAGACCCTTCTATGTGACTCCAAAGTTCTACCTTGGTTTGAGAGTGATGCTGCTGCCTCAGTTTCTCCAGGGTAGCACATTACCCAAGCACAGATCACCATAGGCCAGGTCTCTGCTGTACACTTGTGGGCACATGGCAAGAGTATATATAGCTTCGAGCAAGACCTCTGTACTTGGCAGTTGCCTTGCAACAAGGTCGCCAGGGTTTGGGGTGGACATCTGTCTCAGGAGTCTTTGCTCTTCACCTGCCAATACCCCGATGGCTGCAAGCCACATAGACCCCTGAAGTCCTCTTCCACCTACCCAATCGCCTCTTTGAACCTGTTTCCCCTGTAAAGGGATTAACAGCAGCTACCAGGAGAGCTGTGAGGTGTTCCAGGATTTGGGATGAAAGGCACAAGGCTAGACCTGGGTAAAAATGACCAAACTGCCAAGACACTGACACAGTCTCTCCTCAGTCTGCCATGGCTGGCCATCCCTGAAGCTGTCATTTTTCACATTTGGCTGCTATGGCTTCCATGCCCTGTGTCTGCCACAGCGTGGCATATAGGGAGAGACCAAGCTCCCCCTGCACTCCCAGAATGCTCACGAAGAAAGGGTCCTGAAATGGTATCTGGCTGTCCTATGCCCAGGGACAGAGTTCCTGCATCACCTCATGCAAAGCTGTCTCTTTGGCAGGCTTGTCCCCTTGTGTGAGCTCCTTGGACTGGCTGTCCTGTTCTCTGTATTCTCAGGGCAGAGGCTTATTGAATACAGGGGGTTCTCACTGCCTCTTCAGCTTATTTGGGGGCTTTTCTGACATGTGCTACTGTTTGGGGATTGTGCTGGTTGGAAGAGCAGGTTTTTGAATTGACAGGTTCAGATCTGCTCTCACTTACCATGTGACCTTGGGCATGTATCTTAACAGCTTTGCCTAGGGCTCTGCTGTGTCCAGTGAGGAAATATTAGGCTGTTTGTCCTAGGGTTTCCTGAGTAAAACATCTAGTAGCGACTAAGAGAACTGGAAAAATAAAAAAGAGTTATTTATCTTAGGAAGACACGAAAACTCAGAATACAGATGAACGGTAAGGATAAGGATGCCCTGGAAAAGCAAGCATGCATGGGTGGAGTCAAAGAAGCCAGTCAGTTCCCCCAAACCCTACTTGCAGGACTACAAGACAGGAAAACCAAACCAACCAACCAAAGAGCCTTAGGCCTCGGAATATGCTTCCCAAGGGGAAGGACCCTGGATGTGTAAGAGCAGAGAGGCCAGACGTGGTTTGGTGTCCTCCTGGGGTCTGCCCTGAGTTGGGTCCTTTGTGGAATCTGACATGTTACCTGTTGTGGAGGGAGGAGAAAAGCAGAATCAGGGATGACATACAGCAGAGGGCATCAGGTGTAAAGGCACGGGCCTCGGGCTGGAGAGAAGGCTCAGTGGTTAGTGGCACAGGTCAACACCAGCCTGTTGCTGGTCTTTGAAAACAAACATACGGAGACACAGTCCTGTTCATCCACCTACTTCCCACCAAACTCTGTCCACAATAGCAAAACCGAGGTGCAGGACAGAGCCTGTGTAGCCTAGAGCCCTAAATATCTACCACCTGCACCAAGTTTACCAGGCTTTAGAGGACCATTTAGAAGATTAAGGCAACTCAGTGGAGGTCCCTGACAAAGACTGGAGGTGATGGGGAGGCTTCATGGAGAAAGAATCATCCAAGCTTATAATGGAAAAGCAATATTTAGAGAGATGGTTTTCAGATGACAGCCCGAGCAGTGGTATGGTATTAATAGTATGTAGGGACCAAGAGTAATCAGGGAAGGGCCAACTGGGGAGCTGGAGAGGGAAGAAAAAGGGGGGAGACTTTTCAGCCCCTAGAGAGGGGCAGTATCCAGATGGCCCTAACATCATATTTAGTCCTACTGTCTGTCATTCAGGGAGAGGACTCCCAGGCCCAGATTCCCTAAGGACACTATCCCTGCCAGTTCTAGGACCTCTGGACCTGTGACTACCTACTATGCTCAAAAGATTGTGTCTTGGGGGTTGGAGAGATGGCTCAGCATCTAAGAGCAACTGGGTGCTCTTCCAGAGGACCCAGGTTCAATTCCCACATGGCAGGCAGCTCACAATTGTCTATAACTCCAGTTTCAGGGGATTCAACACCCTCACACAGACATGCATGCAGGTAAAACACCAATGCACAAGAAATAAAGGCAAATTAAAAAAAAAAAGATTGTGTCTTACCAAATCCCCCTCCCTTTCCCTATGAAGAAACTGAGGACAGAGAGTGCATGGCAGGGCAGAGTGCTCCTTTCCTGACTCCATTCCCAGCCCTCAGTCCAAGCTGGGTAGGGCTGACAGTGACAGAAGCTGACTACAGGTGATGTTGAGAAGTTCCCGACCCTCTGAGGTCCTGGAGTACACACACGGAGGGTGCTGGGGACTGAAGGCCAAGTCCTCACGCCTCCACTCCACGCTTTCCAGTGACAGGTGGTCAAGTTCATCTGTAGGTTCCCTGTGGGGACAGCTGCCTTGTTCTGCCCTTGTGTGAAGATATGGTCAGTGCCGGGCACCAGGACAACACAGAGAAATAATAATAGGGCAGCCTTGGGACATGGCCTTCTTCTCCACTCTGACCCCTAAGCTCCAGTTTCTCTCAAAACTAGGGCAGCAAAACAGTTTGGGGCTGGACTTTGTATTCACATTCTTGCTCCTACTCTGCCATGAGATCTCAGCTTACAGGGCACACAGCACCCCATTTCATTCCCTTCTAATTACTGTCCAGACAAACAGCAAAGCTGTACTGACAGCAAGCACCGTGTGCTGGGGCCCAGCGACAAGACCTCATACATTAACTTCTTGCTATTCGTCAGCCCTTTGTGTTCCCCCAGTTTTATAGTCAAGAGGAGGGAATTCAGAGGGTAGTAATGTCCTCAAAGTCACACAGATGGCAGGAGGCCCAGCAGGATTCTGAAACCCTGACGAAGGGCAGGAGGCCTCCTGCAGAGCTCTAGGACAGGGGATCGTGTGGGTGTCCTCACCAATAAGTGCTCTGACTTGGCTACAACTTCAAGCACCAAATTCCTTGTTCATCTTGCCACAAAATCATCATATACTTTTAGGGTGTGTGATCATGAGCTCCCTGGTGCTTTTCCAAGGGGCCTGGTTGTGTGGTGGGACAGGCAGGTGAAGGGAGAAGTTGGGAAGCGGTGTGGTAGGAAGGGGTGGCGCCAGCCTTGTTCCCTACTTACAGATCCTGAGGGAGTCTTGGGTACACTTTTTAGGCTGAGCACATGCTAGCTACCCGTTTGCTGTCTGACTCTGTCTTAGAAAACCATTCTGTGCTCAACAATCCCTTATGCTCCTTCTTTGCCCCACAGCCAAGAGGACCTGCGCAGACAGCGACTTTACCTGTGATAACGGCCACTGCATCCCGGAGCGCTGGAAGTGCGATGGGGAGGAGGAGTGTCCTGATGGATCTGATGAATCAAAGGCCACTTGCTGTGAGTCTTGCCCTGAACCTCAGTTTCCTCGTCTGCATTTTCCTGTTGGCACGCTGTCAGGCTCACAGAGACGGCCAGAGGATGGTCTGTGCCAGGCCCTCTGGGGAGTGGGAGGCTCCGGGCGGGCAGTCAAATGTCTAGTTGTCCGTCTGTCACCTGTTTCCAGACTTTCTTCTCAGCTGGCTTGTAGCTCTGACTCTGTTCCTACAGCACCAGGAGCTGCAATCAGCTCCCAGATTCTGCTCAGAAGTAGCCATGGCTCATCTTGCAGGCCCCCTTCTCTCTCGTTCTTGAGGATCTTAATTGTAATTCCAGTGGCACTGACGGCAGCTGGTGCTTGTTAATCATTTACTGTGTGCCACACCTCGATAAGCGCTTTGTATGCCGTCATTCCTTTCATCTTCAGAGCAGCCTCTAGAGGCAGGTATTGCCACTTGCTGAATTTTCAAAAGGGGCACACAGAAACTCAGAGAGTTGGAGCGATTTGTCCATGGCCACCCAGCCAGGACTTCAAGGGCCCAGCTCCTTCCTTGGTCTTGGGTGAGCTGAGTCCAGGAGGCCTGGTCCCCATGGCTAGCTAGATGGTGACAGGAGGGACCAGGGTGAAGTGCCGTAGCTGGTGCTTTTGGACTGCCTTCTGCACTCAGAGCTTTCTCCTCTCCATGATTTCTTTTCTAGGCTCTAATCCTCAAAGCAAACTTAGACCTGGCAGGTCATTCCGTGACATTTGTTAAATTAAAAAGGAGATGAGAAGGGGGAGGGGGAGGACCCAGCGGCCCAGAGGCAGAGCTTCAGCAGGGTGAGCCTGAGACAAAAGGCTGGGGGAAGCGCGTGGAGAATGGGGGGACTAACGGGGATCCAGAAGCCCCTCTCTGGGGCGAACATTTGCCCCAGAGGTAAAGGCAGGGACAATGGAGGCCAGAGTCCCATCTAAGGCTGCCGCTGATGATAACTGGGTTTCCTTGTCTCCTAGCAACAGAGCTACCAGTTTCCAAGAGAGAAAGAGAAAGGAGAGCAGGAGAGCCCCCCCAGACAAAGGGCCCCTCATTCCCTACGCAGCTGCCAAGCCCCCCCCCCAGTTTTACTGCAAGGCCATCCTTTCCTTACCACACCAAATGCCACTCCATGCTGTCCTGGAGGCATGCGTGTGGGCAGAGGGAAGCCCAGTGCTTTCTCCTGCTCTTCCAAAAGAACAAAGCCCCGCCACCCTTGCCTGTAACTGTCATCCTATGCCAGCCTGGAGAGAGGGTGGTAGGTCCCCCACAGAGAAAGAAACTGAGGCTGGACCAGCTCTGGCCAGTTGGCCACGGCTGCTCCGCTGAGAAGGGACAGAGTCATGTGCCTCTTAGACAGTTTCTAGGGGTGGTTGGTGGTTTCCTACCCTAGCAGTCAGCCAGCTCTGCCTTGACCCTGGGCATGCGTAGGAGCTCTGTGGGTGTTACTGGGGACGGGGCTGCCTTGCTCCACATCTCTATTTTGTGCTTCCCCGGCCCTGTTGGGCCTGCCCACCTATCCCACTCCCCTGGACTCCCTCCCTCCCTGCTCACGCGTCCTGTCTTCAGCCTCCCTCTTGCCACTCCTGTCTCCCATCCTGTCTGTTTCCGTCTTCCTTCCTCAAAATGTCAGTGCTGACTGCTTTCCTACCTCATGGTCCGTGCTGGACCCACACTCCCCAGTCCTCCTGACTCCCAGGTCCCCTATACTTAACAGGTGAGCAGCTAGGGGCCTCAAGAATTCGATAGACTTGCTTTGTAGACACACAGCGTGTCTGTGGCAAGTGCCTCTCCTGTGACAAAAGACAGGCTTCTCAGGCTTTCTGAGATTCATGGGAGCTGCAGCCAAGGAAGCACCCAGGATTGAAGAGGCCCAACTCCCTGTGGAGTATCCCATAGATTTCCCCATTTTAAACTTCCTAAATTCTTAGTAGTCCAAAACCCACTTTCTGCCCTTGTGCAGTGGGATACAGAGTCTGGGATCCCCAAACCATTGTATTGGTCAGAAGCAATGGTCACAGGGTCTGTGCCCAGGGAGGGCTGCCTGGAAGAATCAGCCAGAGAGGACCTGGAAGGCCAGGCAGAACTTGGGGCAGCAGGACTGGTAGCAGGCTTACTCACAGCTTCCCAACCAAATGAAAACCCAGCAGCCAACCCGCTGTCCATTTAATTGGTGTTGCCATAGCAACCTCCATAGCCTACCAGGTTTCTGGGACTGTGCCAGCTCCCAGGATAGAGCTTACTCCTCACCCCTAACAGAAAGATTATAGATAGAAGAGTATAGTAGGTTTGGGATCTGATTCCTTTGCCTTGAAACATCATATAAGTTGCCTAGTCTGCCTGAGCCTTAGTTTCTCCTTTTGTAAAATGGCAAGATGGTATTTGCCTTATAATGGGTCTGCTACTCTACTGAGAAAATACAAATATTGGGAGTAAGTGCCAGTATTATTATTGTTCTTGGACCTCAAAGTCTCTGCCCCGAGTGTTAGTTTATTAGGCTATCAGGACACTAGATTGGTACTGTTAAAAGAGGGATAGTTGTGTGTGTGAGAAGTAGAGGAACCTGGGATAGGTACTCATCAAATACAGCCAGAGTCACAATGGGAGAGCCCAGAACATTTGCCTAATGAAAGTATCATTTGGGCTCTAATTATAGCTTACTTGATTGGGGACGTCTCTGACCCACCTTCAGGCATCTGCGGGGAGGGGTGCAGGCAGGCAAGGAGAGGAGAGAGTGGTTCCAGGGAAAGGATCTGGGTGCTACTTACTGTGTGTGGATTTTTCTCCTTGCATCTTAGCAGCGAGAAGGGGACCTCCCCACTCACTTCTGCTCACCTACTTCTTATAGATGAAGAAATACAGGCCTGGAGGTCTGAGATCACCCATTTTGCCTGATGCTGTGCCTAGGCTGTGCCTAGGAGCCTAGTGTAACTCTGCTCCTTCAGGCTGACAGAGAGCAAAGGTGTGCTTCCTAAGGCAGGGGCCCAGCCAAGTGACACTGGTGATTGCTATGGCCAAGTCCCCATTTGTCCCTAAAGCCCCAGTCTCTAAGACTACAGTGAGTAGCCACTAGGTACAAACATTTCCCTTGTTTCTTTGTGTATTAACTTGAGATGGCAAAAGTACCTGTGGATTTGGATCTCTGGGACAGGATTCTCGGGAAATTAATAAATGCTTTCAGTCACTTCAGGGTAGTGTTCCAAGCCCCCTCACCAGTGGTGTGAGGAGGCAATGCAGTGAGGGTTTTTGCTTCTACCTGGAACACTTGAACAGCAGGCCAAATGTGTCCCTGGGGAGCATCTGTCCCAGAGGAAAGGCCGTCCTAGGATAGGGACCATATCATGACATATGTGCTCCTGTGTGTTCCCCAGGGGGATACCAGCCTCCCCAGCAGGCATTTACATTTTCACTGCACAAGATGGGACAAGAACAATTATGTCTTGAGCTCCAGTGTATGTCAGGCTTTTGAGTAGAAGGGTCCTACACCGCCTCATGTAAACCACTGACCAACCCCATTTTCAGCCGAGGAGACCCAGGGAGCACGGAAGTTAAATGCCTTGCGTATGGACTTTAGTGTTAGTAAATGAGAATTAGACTGAGGTCTATTGACTCTCAAACCCAGGCTCCTTCACCTATACCAACTTGTCTGTAGGTCTTAGCTTCAAGGATCCTGGGGGTAGACATCAGATGGCCAGATTGCTCAGCCTACCTGAGTGAAGGCTAGCTGAGCGCCTCACTGAGCTCTCCAGCCACGACAGGAAAAGTAGCAGTCTCCACATGCACAGTGGCTATACTGTGGGTCTGGAATGGGGGTCTACCGAGGCTCCCTCCATAAGACCAGAAAGAAGCCAGCAACTTACACTCTCCAGGCTTTCCTTTCTGCCTGGGAGATGCCCATCAGCACTTCCTGCGGCTGCGAAGTGGTGAGGCCTGGCCTGGAACCCGGAGTCTCGCTTTGGGGAAGAGCGATGCCACAGGAGAGGCACAGGCAGTGAGGTTGCAGGAGAGACAGGCCCTGGATGCACCTACCTCTCTCTGAACTCTGGAGTATACACTCCAGGAGATGCTTGTCAGCTGGATCTCCTTGGCTTCTCTTGTCCTGGCATTCCATGAGCCGTGACTCTTTAGGGGTGAGGGGACTGGTAGTAGGCACTGCTGGGTCCTTGAGAGCCTGTAATTAGAACTGTCTATTTAGGGACACAGCAAATGCCTTATTAATTATAAAGAAAGGAAGCAGACAGATTGTTTAATCATTGTCCTTGTTGGAAGGTTATGCTGTTAACTGTATAAATATTCATTAAAAGTTCAGTCGGCTGCCTGCTGTACTGGGGACTACAGGACCAAGCCTCTGGAGGTGGTGCATCTGACCAAAGGCTGTTTCGGTCATGTAGGCTTTGGGAAAGAGAGTTTGGGGCTGGCTCTCAGCCGTGCGTGGTTTGATGGAAGGATGGGACTTTTGTCAGAGCACCCAGACTCTGCCTTTAATGTGCTGTGCATGTTTTGGTGAGTTTCTTGATGTCTCTGAACCTTAGGACTGCTGCCCTGATCGGTCTAGGAAACACTATGGCTACCGTCCCTTTGAGAATGGTGCTCCCGGAATCTGTACTCACGGGCTTCTTGCCTGTCAGGGTTAGAGTGAGGGTGATGATGAGCATCTTAGCTGGTTCTGGCTAAATGCCACAGACTGAACTGGGTACGCTGTAAATAACAGAAATCTAGTAGATACAGTTCTATTACATACACTGAACACCAACAGACTGGTGTCTGGTGAGGTCCATGCCTCACAGATGCTGACTTCTCACTCAGACCTTCAAAACAGAGAGGGGCATGGAGTCTACCTCGAGCATTTACGTTATGTTATATAAAATTTTCATTGTGTATGTTCATGTACATGGTACCGTGTTCCATAGGGACATTTTCTACAAGTACATATTGTGTTAAACATACTCTTCTTCCCTTCCCTCTCCCATTAGCTCCTTTGTTCCCCTAGATAATTTTGCTTCTATCCTGGAACTCATTCTGTGGACCATGTTAGCCTCAAACTCACAGAGATCCTCCTGCCTCTGCCTTCCGAGTACTGAGATTAAAGGCGTGGGCCACCACCGCCTGGCTTCACACACTTACTTTTATATGTCCATATAAAATTAGAACCACAAATGAGAAGACATACATTATTTGTCTTTCCAAGTCTAGCTTAATTTGGTTAAGATGATTATCTCCAATTGTATTCACTTTTCTGCAGATGTCATAGCTTTGTTCTTTGTTGTTGCTGCTGCTGCTGCTGTTTTTCAAGACAGGGTTTCTTGAAACTTTGGAGCCTGTCCTGGAACTTGCTCTGTAGACCAGGCTGGCCTCGAACTCACAGAGATCCGCCTGCCTCTGCCTCCCAAGTTCTGGGATTAAAGGCGTGTGCCACCAACGCCCGGCTCATAGCTTTGCTCTCTATGGCTGAAAAAAAATGCCATTGTGTATGTATAGCACATTTTGTTTGCATCCATTCTCCAGCTTCTTTTGTAAGGTGAGGGTGTTGCTCTTATGGCTTAATTGTCTTCTAAAGGTAGAGTGGAATGGGGACACAACTCCAACCTGGAGCAGTCTGACCTCTTAGGTGCTTGTAACTGTGGCCCTTTCAACTCCCCTGTAAGGCTTAGCTCTCTGAGTCTGGGTTAGTGCTTAGTGGTGCCAAGTCTTTCTACCCCATTGCTCTCTCAGGGGCTTGCAAACATTTGAGCACCTGTATCACTTTTAGGGCGCTATGGTATTACAAAGTGGTGGAGTGTGCCATATCTTCTTGATATGCAGGTTGTTAATGCAGGGGTTCTCACACAGAGGTACCTGTCACTGCTTGGGTTGAGTGAAGTTACTGAAATGCAGGTTCCAGGGCCTGGAGCAGTAGCTCAGTTATTAAGAGGTGCTTGCTGCTCTTCCAGAGGGCCTGAGTTTGGGTCCCAGCACCCAGGGATCCAAAGTCCTCTTCCTCCTGCCACCAGCACCTCCACACAAGTACCAAACATACGTTCACACAAAGGAAAATGTAAATTTTTAAAAATGCTAATTCCTTGGCTTTCAACATTTAGATTCAGTCAATATGACCTGGGGCCCAGGAGCTTGAGCTTCTACGCCCTCAGCCCCTGCCTCTTGGTTAGAGTACTTTCTGGGAGTCAGCTGGTCAACTCCAGCGGCTTCATGTTCTAAAACATCAACAAGTGCTCAAGGGTCTCCAGTGTTGGTGACAGAAGTGCCATCTCTAGATGCCCAAACCCCTTCACCACCCCACATGACAGCCCAAAGTGGTCTTGGGCAGGATGAGGGGTGAGACAAGGTTTCTCTGTGTAGCCCTGGCTGTGCTGGAATTGGCACCATAGGCCAGGCTGGCCTCAAACTCAGAGATCCACCTGCCTCTGCCTGCTAAGTGCTAGGATTAAAGGCCTGTGCCATTACTGCCCAGCTCAGGTGGCCATTTCATTCATATATGTATGTACATATGTATGTATTTTTTTTAGGTATGAGTGTACTCCATCTGCATGTATGCCTGTAGGCCAGAAGAGGGCATCAGATCCCATTAAAGATAGCTGTGAGCCACCACCTGGTTACTGGGAATTGAACTCGGGACCTCTGGAAAAGCAGCCAGTGCTCAGCCAGTACTGAGCCATCTCTCCAGCTCCCAAAGTGGCCATTTTAAAAGCTTACAGTTACTCATGTAAAGTGAATTGTATGTTCCCATTGGATTACCTTATTCATGACAGGTGTTCCAAACCTGTCCACATTTGAGATCCACAAGGGATTGAAGGTACTCGTCCCCAATGCATAGTATGTATCACTTGGGGACCTTGATTTAGACACCTGCCCCAGCCCACTTTTCTGTTCCTTTTCTTGTCTCAGTCCACTGTTATTCATCTCTGCGGACTCTCATTCTAGCCACAGAAACAAAATGAGAGGAAACAGATCAGAGATCAGAGTGAAACATGACTTACCATTCCTCTGGGCTTACGAAACTGTTCCCAGTCTCTGGTATCAGCAGAACTCAGGGCTTACCATCATGTCTGATACCCAGCAGTGCTCAAATATTATCCACTGAATGCATAAACAAGACTCGGTCTCATCCATTATGTGTGGATAATAATAGTGGAGAACATGTAGTGTGCCTAGGATGAGTGTACTTCTAAACGTTTTATAGACATTAATGTGGTCATCACAGCAACTGTATGCAGCCGTGTACACAAGGAGAAGTATTTAGGCCAGGGCCACGTGGCCAGTGAATAACTGAGCTATGATTCAAACCCAAGCAGCCAGCCTCACCCTGCTGGGTTATTATAAAGATTAAATAGAAGTGTCTAGCACTGTGCCTGGCACAATCTAACTCCTGCACACTGTAAAAGACAGCAGGAAGTCAACCAAAAAGGTCGAAGATGCATCTGCCTTAGCTGTCATGTGGAGTAGGGGAAGCTCAGAGTAAGAGCTGTCCCCCAGCCCTGAATAGGGTCTCATTCTTCCAAACTGAGAATCAACCCTGGGGCTCTAGGCCCCTGACTGAGCCAGCCTCTGATTGTGGCTGCAGTAATTATAGCTGTGCAGTCCCGCTGGGCCCTGTGTGTGGAGGCTGTTCTTAGCGGTGGGCTCAGTACTATCTTACAGAGACTTAAGATCGTTGCTGCTAGGGTTTTGGTGAGCCCTCCAGACCCACAGTTTCAAATCATGGCGTTGCGGGTCTGGAAGGTAAACTGAGGTCCAGCTAGGCATATCTCACCCAAAGGCACACAGCAAGGGTGGGGCAGCTCCATATTGTGAGATCTTAAGGAGAAGATGTGTAGGGGCCCTTGGATCAAAAATGACTTGAAGCCAGGTGGTGGTGGTGGTGCACGCCTTTAACCCCAGCACTCGGGAGGCAGAGGCAGGTGGATCTCTGAGTTTGAGGCCAGCCTCGTCTACAGTGTGAGTTCTAGGACGGCTGGGACTGTTACACAGAGAAACCCTGTCTTGAAAAGCGCCCCCCCACCAAAAAAAAGAAAAGAGAAAGAAAGAAGAAAAAGGAAAAAAAAAAGACTTGAATGTCTTGGACGAGACCATGAGAGAGGGATCGGCAGGGCAGTGTGGGGTGGGGTCAGATTTAGGACTTAGAAAGCCTTTAGAGAAGATTAGCTCCTGGTGAAGAGACATGGAGCATGAGGGCCAAGTAGCAGGACTGGTTGGTGCTACATACTGTGTTGTCTTAGCTAAGTCTCGACTATCTGGTGTCCATCTGCAGACAGGGAAGAGTGTCCGGCTGAGAAGTTGAGCTGTGGACCCGGCAGCCAGAAGTGTGTGCCTGCTTCTTGGCGCTGCGATGGAGAGAAGGACTGTGAGGGCGGCGCGGACGAGGCCGGCTGTCCTACCTGTGAGTCCAGGCCTAGAACCCCGTTGTCCGCCAAGCAGTCAGGCACCCTCGGGGGTGGTGCCTCTTCCTGAAAGGGGCCTGGTTCTCTGTGGGGCTGGTAGGTGGGAAGGGAAGAATGAGATGAGAACATTAGCAACGGCTGGGCTGTTAGCAAACGTTTTCTTCTTCCATCCTCATGACCACCTCATCAATAGCCATTATTGTCCCCATTTCATGGGTGAGGACACTGAGGCTCAGACAAGGGAGGAAGCGTGCCCAAGGCTGAGGGATGAACTGAGATTCAAATTCAGCTTTTTACCATGTGTGACATCTGCTCATCCATTCTACAAGTCTACCAATCTCCAAGCAAGAGCAGGGGAACCGAAGGCCGGGCTGTATGAAAGTGTTGTCTTGTGCCAGGGCACTGGCAGCATTGGGAACGGGCATGTGCCGACAGTTTCCTAGGGCTGAAGGACGGCTGTTGCTGAAGTCTCAGACTGGGGCACGTATCACATACAGAGAAGACATTCCCATCAGTCTCAGCAGGGACAGATGGAAGTGGTCATTGGGACAGTTCCACATGGCTGAACTTCAAACACAGGATTATCTCCTTCTCAGAGAGCAGGCCAGCAAGGTTTGGGCCAGGGGTGGGGGTAGGGGTCATGATCTGGCTCATTTCACTTCTCTGGGTACCTACTATGTGCCAGGTCTGTCTGAAGGGCATGATCAGGTGAACATGTAATGTTCCCCTGGGGACTATAGACTGGCCACGCTACTAGACTATGAGACTGAGCTGAAATTCAGGGAGGTCTGTGCCAGGCACTGCCCACCACTACCTCCCAAAGCATCTCCCCACCCCCACCCATCACTCCTAGCCATCCTTCCTGGTCCAGGAGCAAGGCCATCTCCTACGGCTTCTGAGATTCCACATGTGGAAGGTTGATGGGTCTGAAGCAGGAAATGTGTGGCTAGTGTCTGCATGGCAAAGCCCCGGTGACAGCACTGGCTTCAGCTGGGATAGTTTCGTGAGAACTCATCGCCCATGCCCGTCCCTCTTTCTTCTCACCATCTCCAACCCAGGCAAATGGTTTTTCTAGTGTAAACTATCAGCCAGTACTGCTGGGGGCGGGGTACTGACTAGGGCATGTTGGGACAGGGACATCTACTGTTAATTATAGGAACCAAAGGTGCGAGAAAGGCTTCTTGGGTTCCTGTGGCCTGGGCAGAGAAGGAACCTTCCCTTCTCCAGTTCTCTGAGACCCTTGCATTTGTGAATATACGGAGTAGGGTGCCTGGGTCTTGGTAGTGGGGTCTTGTTACTGTCAGCTTAGTGTTGTGAGCACTTCCTGTCAGGACTCTCAGCAGACAGAATCTTCTCTCCCTGGGTATGTAAAGCTGTGTCTAGACAGGCAGGAAGGTGTCAGCAGCAGCATCCTGGGGGATGTGGCACCAGATAGCACGAGCTTTTCCCTCTGATGCCCCCACATCCCAAAAACCCAGAAGGGGAAAATGCAGCTGTCAGGAACTTGGTAGCAGAGCTGTCAGAAGAACATGACAAAGTCTGCCTATACTATTAACACTGAAGACGTTATTTTATGTTCAGCAACAATGAAAATTGACATCACGTCACCAGAAAATAGAAAAAATGGACTGTGGGCGCCACCATATGGAGAGATATGGCACTGCCACCATATCTCTCCTGGTCATAGCCTCAGCATTCCTGACCCCTGAGGCCAATGTCTGAAGACATGGATGAGGGGAGGAGGTGAGGGAGGAGATGCCTTGAAAACAGCAGACACTCCAGAAAGAGAGGGAAAACGAACAAACAGGAAAGCCGAGAGGGTGGGTCAGAGTAGGAAGGAAATACCCCAAGCCTGAGTTCTGGTTCTTTTGTTATGTTGTAACCCTGAGCAGGGTGCTCCCCTCCCTGGGCCTCAGTTTCTGTATCTTTAAACCAGCACCCAGGCAGGCTGGTCTCTACAGCCTATCCTGCCAACTCCAGGCGAGCCTACCAGAGAGGGAGCCCAGGCCCCAGACAGGGCCAGGGCCTGGTTTTGAATGACGTCACCCACACCCACACCCTGCAGGGGGCTCTGAAGAAGGACATGGAACCCAGACATGTGGGGTGGCTGTGATAGGCCTAATATAGGTGGCCTGGGGCAGAGGGAGGTTTTCTGAGCATGGGGACAAGAAGCACGGGTTGGATGGAGGTGGAATTTGTACCTGTGCAGGGGAAGAACTCTGAGAACTAAAAGCGATGGTGGGCAGCAGTGGGTTCCCAGAGGATGGAGCAACTTGAACAAAACCTCGGAGGGAAACTGTGTGCCCTGGGCCTAGCAAACCATCGAGGTGGCCATAGTTGGGGCATGGTCAGGAGTGGGGACCGGGGTAGTAGATGCCAGGCCAGAGACTTAACAGTCTCTGCGGGCTGTAGATACCACTGTGCCGCAGTGGACAACCCTGGCCCTCTCATCTGGTGCCAGTCATGTTACAGATGGTTTCCTGTCCTTCAAGGCAGCGGGGCTCTGCAGTGTTAGAGCCCCTGGCAGCCCCACCTGGCTGCAGGGCAGAAATTCTGTGTACTTGGGGAAGTTCAGGAAGGGCAAATGTGGCTCAAGGTCAGTTAGCATGACTGAGGCCCCTGCTTGGAAGTGTCAGTCTCTCATACCACGTTCCCAGTTCAAGTCTCCAGTAGAACCGATTCCGGCCTATAGGTGAAGGTCAGAGTACCCTGTAGCCCCTGTAGGTGAAGGTCAGAGTACCCTGTAGCCCCTGTAGCAGGCGCTGGGCTGGGTCGTGGGGGGTGAGATCTGGCCGGCCGACCGGCTCTCTGTCCTGCGCAGTGTGCGCCCCGCATGAGTTCCAGTGCAGCAACCGCTCCTGCCTGGCCTCTGTGTTCGTGTGTGATGGCGACGATGACTGCGGCGATGGCAGTGACGAGCGCGGCTGCTCAGACCCGGCCTGTCCGCCCCGCGAGTTCCGCTGTGGAGGAGGTGGCACCTGCATCCCTGAGCGCTGGGTCTGCGATGGCCAGTTTGACTGCGAGGACCGCTCAGATGAGGCAGCCGAGCTTTGCGGGCGAGTGGGCCAGGAGACCATGGCCACAGCAGCAGCCTGTGTCCCCACCACCCAGTTCACCTGCCGCAGCGGCGAGTGCATACACTTGGGCTGGCGCTGCGATGGCGACCGTGACTGCAAGGACAAGTCTGATGAGGCCGACTGCTGTAAGCCCCCTCCATGCACCCAGTCCCACTCAGAGCCTGCTGATATGGCCCTCCTACCGGGAGTAAATATCCTGCTTTAACAGAGACTTACACTGGGAGAATGAAGTGACTTGCGGGAGGTCACATGGCTGCTAAGGAGAGGAGCTCAGATCTGACCCCAGAAGCCAGGCACCAGTGTGGCCATTCCATCACACCTGTTGCCGCCCTGCCCTGTTACAGGGAGGCTGGCACTGTTCCTCCCTGCCCAGAGACCTCTGTCCTAGACATCCCGCATGCGGAGCCTGTTAGACTCTGCTGACTGTCCCAGCTGTGTTGGTCCCTTCCAGGCCTTTGGCAGATCCCTGCTGTTCTCTTACAGACACAGCTCACACTGTGGTATTTTCATCTGGGCGTTTCTCATCTCTTTGCACCTGAGCTTCTGGAAAAGGAGCTCTTAGATTCCGGCCTCCCCACCAGTACCCAGCACAGGGCCAGGTTCAGGTCAGCTGAGGGAACATGAGCGCCAGGACTCAATGAAAACCACACGTCTGTGCTGAGGTGGTGGACAGGGAAACAGGAAACTGGGATGCCGTGTGACCTTTGGCAAGACCTTCCCCCTCTCTGAGCTTCAGTCTCCCCATGTGTGCACTAGAGATGCTTTAGCCAGGTGTCCTCTAAGGCCTCCTAAGCTCGGTCACTGGTCCATTCTTTCCAGGGAAGGATGTGGCATGAGGTTGCAGGGAAAGCCTTCCTAGTGCCACGCTGGTCCTGACCGCCTCTTGCTCTGTTTCAGCAGCATCAGGACCCTGCAGTGAGAATGACTTCCAGTGTGGGGATGGGACTTGTGTCCTTGCGATCAAACGCTGCAACCAGGAACACGACTGTCCAGATGGGAGTGATGAAGCTGGCTGCCTGCAGGGTGCGTGTGCTCAAGGCAAGGGTTGGCATCCTCTGAGGATGGAACCCTCCCTGGCCTGGAGGGAGCAGAGTTGTGGAAGTTCTTCCCTTTATCTCTGTGTATTTACCCCTTCAGCATCACTTACTTGCCCTCCATTGTCACTGGGATTCCTTCCCATGGGGTTCTAAGGCACAAGAACTGGACTTTTTTTTTTTAAGATTTATTTATAATGTATATGAGTGCTCTATCTGCCATGTACACCTTTATGCCAGAAGAGGGCATCAGATCCCCACTATAGATGGTTGTGAGCCACCCTGTGGTTGCTGGGAATTGAACTCAGGACCTCTAGAAGAGCAACTAGTGCTCTTAACCTCTGAGCCATCTCTTCAGCCCAAGAATGGACTTTTAATCAAGGACATTGTAAAGGCTGAAAGAGGCTAAGGGGACATGAAAGCACATCATGGGGAATCTAGCCCCCCCCTACTGTTTGTCCACACCCAAGGGTTTCCTTACTAGTTCTCAGACTGACCAGAGACTGAATCCTGTCTTCCAAGAGTCCCTCTCACCCTCAGGTGGTTGCCCTGCTGGAATAGGTCAACGAGGCGGTATAGGGCAAACTGACCCTTGAGAGATGGTCAGTCCAGACTCAGTCTCCACAATGCTGCCATAAGGTCTTTCCCAGGACTCCAACACTCCCAGAACAGACAAAGACCTCTGCATGGGTGGATGAAGATCTGTCCTGTAAGGAGAGCTCCTGCAGGCCGTGGTTTCACTGTTTGTCCTAAGGTCCCCTAAGAGATCTGTTAGGGCTGGCCCTTGAACTCTGTTCATTTTCTGTGGGCCTTGGTTGGCCCTGCCCAGCCTTGTCCTTCCCACCCACTATCTCACAGGGACTGTCCACTCTCTTGTCTGGCCCGACAGAGTCAACCTGTGAGGGTCCCCGCAGATTTCAGTGTAAGAGTGGCGAGTGCGTGGACGGCGGGAAAGTGTGTGATGATCAGAGGGACTGCCGGGACTGGTCGGATGAGCCTCAGAAAGAGTGTGGTATGCTTCCTGTCTACACCTAACAGCTGAACTACTGTTCTCACCATGCTCCCTCCTGGCACCCAGGCTAGAGGACCTCAACGCCTGCTCTGACCCTCTAGACCAAATGCTATCCTATAACTTCACATTAGGCCATTTGCCACTGGGATCTCTGGTTCTATATTACTGCAAAGCTCCAGGAGCCTTTCTTTTGAAGTCTAGATGCCTCATTTCTGCCATCTACAAACTATACAAACTTGAGTGTGTGCCCTCTGCAAGTTTCTCTCTTCCTCTGTGCCTCTGCCCTGCTGATCTAGCCATGGCCTTGGTCCTTGAGTTCTTTTGGTCCCTGGCAGGACACTTGCAGAGTCAAAGACTGGAAGAAGATGCAGAGCCAGTTAGAAGTACATCCCACACAGCATCACTCCCAGGCCAGGCCTGGGGGTGGGGAGAGTAGGGTACTCCCAGCAGCAGGCAGTATCACCATTCTAAACCTGAGAAGCTGGAACTTGTGGGGGAGCTCAGGCTTGCAGTCTAAACTAGGCAGAAGTGGGGTGAGCCAGCTATTCAGTGACTAGCAAGAGCAGAGACTCTGAGATGGAGGTGGAGAGGAGCCCAGGGTGTGAGCAGAAGAGTTTGTGAGTCATCTCTGCTTTTCTCAGGACAGAATTTCAAAGAATTGGACAAAGGTGTCCCCAGATAACAGTCTAGGTTGGCCCCTCCTTGTCCTCTCTCCTGGAAGACTGCCCAACATCTCCCCTATTGGGTCCTCAGAGGAGCATCATGCCCCGGAGTTCCCTAGAATCAGCCTCTTTGCTCTTCTTCTGAAGATTTAAAATGAAACCAGGAAGAGTAGCTAAGCAAAGCTCTCTGAACCTCCACCTGGGCTTGCAAGAGACTGACATTCTACTGCCCCCAGGCCTTGCCTGGAAAAGATCCAGAAGGGACTCATGAAAAGCAGGAAGAGAAGCAGGAGCAGCTGGACCTAGCTTCTCCACACTCAGATCTGTAGTTATCCAGGGACTACTAACCTACCAAATTCTCTTCTGCATGACACGCTAAAATGTACTCGCTTGTGTTTGTGTGTTCCTTTTATCTGTGCTGGTAAAGAGACCACAGTCTGTACCACATCTCTGAATTACTGCATTCATGCATCTCTGCTTGCATTTCCATGTCTGTGGAGCCTGCAGACCTGTCTGTGCCTCTGCAATAAGCTAGTATGGGTATGTGTGTGTATGCATGAAGGTGTGTGCATGCCAGTGTGTACCGTGCTGGGGAAAGTGACATCTATTTAGGCCCCTAGACTACTCTCCCCTTCCTTCCTCTCCCAGCTCTACCTATGGGCTACACAGAATTAGAGCAGAGATTCTTCAGGCCTCCTAAAGAAGGTGGTCAGGGATAAACTAATTGGGGCCTCCTAGGTTTCTCTCTCAACCTGTGTTGGCCTTGGGTACTCTGTACCTTTTTTTTTTTCATCAAGTCACGGTCGTTTTGAGCTCTTCTTGAGCAGCATCACCCTATCCATACCACGTGGCTAAATGTCCAGTAAACAGAACTGTGGGTCCCACTACCTACAAAGAAAGAGGAAGGAAGTGGGTGGATGCATGAATGAGGCTGTGAGTGAATGGGAGAACAAATGAATGGAGGGCGCTCATGGAATAAAAAATTCAAGACAAGTGACAAAGGGAATGAACGATGGAATGACTCCCAGTAGTAGATCTCTCAGCAACTACTCTGAAGCTGCCATGGCTCAAACCACCTCCAGAAGTCTGGAGCTTCCCAGGGATGGGCCTGACAGCCACTGCCAGTCCCCCAAGGTCATGGGCTTGCTGTGGTCTTGTTCTTTCAGTTGCACCAGCATTCCAGAGAAACAGGAGGAGGCCCAGGGGTAATGGGGACATTCCCTAAGCATGGCTCCGGCTGGAGGTGGGGACGCCCACAGCTGTGCATGGCCTGGATGGGGCAGCTCAAACCAGCTGTATGCATGGCCACAGCTGGCTCCACTCAGCTCTGCTTTGCTTGGCTGGAGTGACAGTGCATGAGCCTGGTGGGCAGAAGGGTGGTGTGGTACTTTCCCCTGGCTTGTGACATTAACTTTCTGTGATTCTGAGCTCAGGAGATGCTGGGAGAACTTGGTAAGCCTTGGTTCTGGCCTCCCCTAGAGCCCTCCAGAAGGGTGAGGAGTGGAGAATGAGGGAACCAGATCCAGATGACCTGACATCCCTTCACTCTCTGCAGCATCTGGTGACACTGGTCTAGACTTGTGGCCAGGTAGATGAATGGGACAGGTCAAAGAAGAGTTGAAAAAGCTCCAGTGTGTAAATTCTGGTAGGAGAGAATCCTGACTCGGCCGCATGCACTTGTAAAACAAAGTCTGCCCTAAGACTCAGCTGTAGCAAGTAAGGGCATTCTGCATGACTCCTCCGGACTGGCAAGCCACCTCTGGGCCCTGCCTTGAGAAAGTATGCAAATGGTAGGAGACCACAAGTCAGCACTTGACAGAGCTCTGAGGGAGCCCCTGCAGGATGGCCAACCCCACAGAGCAGACCTGGGATGAGGAGAAAGCTACAGGAGGCAGCTCCCGTGAGGAAGAGATCTCTATGGGCAGCACCATTCCAAAGTGGTAGCACCTGCCTTGGAGCACAGTGGGCTCCTTGAGGTGGAGAATTAATGTGCAGAAGTGTTCAGAAAACATTCTTAAGGGTAACTCGAGGGCGAACATTGGACATGTAAGCTTAGAGGTCAGAAAGAAGAAGGATCTGTTTTTTAAAAATGTGTAGTGAAAGAACTCAGAGCTCCAGGAAAGGCCTAGTTGCCTCTAGTCTGATAGTGGACGGAGCTCTGGCCTAGGAGGACAAGACCTGTGTTCTCCTTGTTCCATTGACCTGCCTTGTGTAAGAGACTCTCCCTCTGATGCTCCTCCTTCCCAGTCACCTGCCTAGTGAGATAAAGGTTCAGTGCAGCTTCCTGTCTTCCTGGTTCTGTGGTAGTCTGCTGCCCCAAGGCTTTGCTTTGCTCTGGGCCACTCCCTGCCTGTTGGAGGAGTTCAGCAGCCTGTGTCCCTCCCCAGGGCTGAACGAGTGTCTGCACAATAATGGCGGCTGTTCCCATATCTGCACTGACCTCAAGATTGGCTTTGAGTGCACATGCCCAACAGGCTTCCAGCTCTTGGACCAGAAGACCTGTGGCGGTGAGCCCTTCCCCCATCTGCCCAAGCAGATAGAGCTCCCGCTGCCAGTTCTGACGTCTGGTCTTTCCCGCAGACATTGATGAATGCCAGGACCCAGATGCCTGCAGCCAAATCTGTGTGAATTACAAGGGCTACTTTAAGTGTGAGTGCCACCCTGGCTATGAGATGGATTCACTGACCAAGAACTGCAAAGCTGTAGGTACGGACTTCCTAAAGAAGAGGGAACAACTCTGGAGGGTCTATGAAGCACCAGATTTGCATGTATGTGAGGAGTAATTAAACACACACACACACACACACACACACACACACACACACACACAGCAGGTCCGTTGCATACAGTGCTCAAAAATACATGTGAATATCACATGCATGTTGTACTGCATAATAACACCCACAGGCATAGTTAGAGCCACGCTCTAATCATTTGCACAGCACAAGGTAATGGCACAATTGTGGACCACACAGCCAGCATAGGCAGTTCACATGAAGAGCATGACCTGTGTAATTGATCCATTCAGTCAACTGAAGTAATTATTTAATTCTTTATATTAAATGCAATAACGTTGTTATAGGCACTAGAGATTCAGTCAGCAAAAGACACAGATATCTTTGCTAATAATTAAGACAGATAAAAATAAGATAGATAAATAAAATACAGTAAAGGCTAAGGAGAAATAAAGGAGGAAATGGAAAAGTCTGGGAGAATGGTGGGTTATGATTTTAAACAACAGTTAGGGATGCCCTCACTAATGAATAAAAAGGCCGTTTGAGTGAGGACCTAACGGAGGGGAGAGGAAGCAGGAATGGCATTCCAGGCTGAAGGAAGAGAAAGTGTAAAAGCCCAAGGAGAAAGGGGTTCAACTGGATGTTGAGGGGACACCCAGGAGTGGTGTAGCCGGAACAAGACTAGTGAGAGGTGATGTCAGGTGACTCAGGGCAACCCCAAAGCCTTCTAGACTGTTGTGAAGACTACCTTGATTTCTTCTGAGTCTGCGGGAAGCCCTCAAAGGGTTCTGAGTGGAAGGGAAATGTAACATTTAAGCTCTTCCTGGCTTCATTGCTGAGAGCAGACTGCAGGGGGCCAGAGAGAAGCCACATATTACTGCAGTACTCCAGGAGAGAGGCTTGGAGCAGGGTGGTTGCTGTGGGAATATTGAGAAGTGAACAGATGTGTGTATATTTTGAAGGCCAACCAACTGGATTTGCTTATAAATTGAATGTGGGATGCTAAAGAAGAATGAACCACAAGATTCCAGGGACAAACAACTTTAAAAAAAAAGAGGTGCTATTTCAGTCTATGAGAAAGATGGTGAAGAGACAGGTTTGGGAGGAATGTAGACTGTTGGACAGGTTGAGTATAAGGAAACTGTAGCTCTCCACGTGAAGGTATTAAACAAAAAGTCTGGAGTTTCACATGAATACTTGATACAACACCTACATTATAGTAGCACAGTAGCTACAATAATTGACATGAAACCTATCCTAAAATATACCACCCACAGCATACATTATATAACGTACATTCATGCATATACATATAACCCATCTTGTCTTCTAAATGGGACATGAGTAATGTGGCCCATATATGTGCAGTAGAGATAACATACTAGATATATACACCAAATCCATACATGTAAATATCTAAGGTGCAATTATAAAAAAGTCAAATCATAAACACACAGGTCCCTATTGCTGACATGGTCCTCATGCAAATTCACAAGATGCCCAATTTATCATTTCAAAGAGATAAAGTCATGGCTGTTATTTGAGGTGGGGAAAGTTCTGGTTTGTTGGTGACAGAGCAGACCTAAAACCTGGAACCTGATATTTCCTGCACCGCTTTGAGCCCCATTTTCCCTGCTGTTTGTATCACCACTTCACTCTTACCCCTCTGCCTTGAAATAATCTCCATCACTACACAAAGTATATTTGTGTGCACACTGTATGTTCCCAGTTCCTACTGGGCCCATCCTGTCCCCATCCGCCTGACATAAATGCACAGTAGGGCCAGAAATGTGTACTGGAAAACATGGGAACTGTGCCTGAGAATTGCCTGATAATCTCAAAACCACCTGGGGGTAGGGGTAGTGCAAGATCCTTAAAGACCTTTGGGACAGCAACCTTCCAGATGGAAGTCAAAAATATCTAGGTCCCACATGATCTAACTCTAGAGTCTAAAAATAGGTTTGAGATATATATGGCCAGTTTTATGTTCTATCCAGTGTATGTATGTGAGCTTGTAGGTGGTTCAACAAACTTAACCCAGTCCACCGGGCTATCTTTCCGGGACCTTTATTTGCTCAGGTGGGCCATTCTTGCAGAATGGCAGGTGGTGCCCCCAGCAGCAATGGTAGTGATTACTGCTAAGAAACATGCTCTGGGATAGGGGAACGAATTGAAAAGGGCCTGGGGCAGTGAAGCTTGGCTGGGGAAAAGCAGGATGGCAGGTAGTTTAGCTGGAATCCAGGATGGGAGAAAGGCTGATGAGCTAGAGAGGCAGCAGGGTTATTCTGCAAAAGGCCTCAGTGCAGGCATGAGAATACAGGAAGTCATGGACTTGGGAATTTGTATCTAATAGAGAACGGAGCTTCTACTGCGCGTTGGTACTCACTATTTCATGTGCCCTTCTAGCCTGTGAAGTAGGACAGTCGTCCCTACTTCATAGGAAAATAGGCCTCACCCAGCAAACTAGTGGCAGCAACTTGTTCTCTATGGACTCCCTGCTTCCTCCATTGACACTGCTTCCTTGCATGGCAGCTGGCAAGAGCCCATCCCTAATCTTCACCAACCGACATGAGGTACGAAAAATAGACTTGGTGAAGCGGGACTACTCGCGGCTCATCCCCATGCTCAAAAATGTTGTGTCACTGGATGTGGAAGTAGCTACCAATCGAATATACTGGTGTGACCTTTCCTACCGCAAGATCTATAGGTAAGTGGCATGTACCCTGCAGCCAACCACGAGAGGCTTGAGGGCAGGGCTGTTTACAAAGCAGAGGAAGCATGGCCTCTGCCTCTCAGGACAAAGTTGGGCTTGAGAAGAGATACAGGATCACAGTGGCAACAGAAGTACCAGGATTTCCTCAACCTGGACCAGCTGAGAGCTGTAGTGGGAAAACCACCTGGAGCCCACATCCTAGACTGTGTCTGACCCCTGCTGGTCTAACAGTGAAGTACAGGGGAAAGGGAAAGGGCTATCTCCACGGAGAACTACAAATCAGGCCACATACCTGTTTTCTGAACCCCGAGGACTCAAGATGACTAAGTCTGATCTCTGCCTGGAGGATCCCACATATAGCTAGTGGGACGCCTTTTTTCAGACATGAGATGAGGGTAGAAAGGAGGTTTCTGACCCAATTTGGCAGTTAGGAACCCTTCCTGGATGGTAGTGCCTCAGTCGTCACTGGGATATTCCAATCATTGACTGTGACGTTAGCACTTGGGAAACTCCTCGAACACCTGGAAAAGCTTTCTCTTAGGCCTGTCTCAGGTGCCATATGTGGCCTCCTTGCATGCTGGGCCTCCTTGGACAATTAATGCCCTTTTTTGCCTTTGAGATCCACTTGGCAGGACTGCTGATAACCAGGCATTGCATAGACCCTGAGTCACTGTTGAAAGACTGGATGGATGGGTGGGTATATGAGAGACAAGCAGACTGCCAAGTGTGATTTGCTGACAGGTAGATTCCTGCCTCCCACAACGCACACATGCATACTGAGTTCATGCCTTACATACACAGAAGCAGCAAGAACCTGTCTAACAAATAGGACTGGGAAGCAGGATTTGATGAGAGACTAGGTATGGGTCTGAATGAGGCATTGCCTAGACTAACTCCCAGCCTAATTGGGGAGTCTCAGGACTCAGACTTGGGGCTTTTATCGGCGACACATGGGAGATCAGGGGTTGGGGGTTGAGCAGTCTGTGGTTGAGGGACAAGAATGGGGATGAGCAGTTTCTACACATTCAGTAAAGGTGCTCATGGGCTCTCTAAGAGTGCTTTTCAGTCAGGACCTTAAGAGAATGCCAGGACTGCAGAGTTGGAATTCTGGAAGGCAGTGGACAGTATGGAAGAACATGGTGAGAGGTGAGGGAGGCGACAGCATTCGGGAAGCAAAGTCCTACTACTGGACTTTGTGTCCCGTGTGTTTGTGTAGTCAGCTGTCTCTGCACCGCACAGCCTCCTGCAGACCCTCTTTTCCTCACCTCTGCATGTCATAACCTCCCCCTCATCCCTTTCCCTTCCTTCATTGCCTTCCTTTCAAACCCACCCGTTTCACAGGTGTCACAGCTCTAACATTCCCAGCCATGTCCTTGGACTCATTCAGTTACCTGTCTCACTCTCGCCCCAAGATAAAATCCAGTTCTTTAGCAGTGCACTCAGAGCTGTCAGGGTATGGCTCTTGCTGCACTCATTTCCAGTTTTGCATCCCACAAGCAGCCCTAGCACAGCGAGCACGCATCATCCCAGAACACGATCACTTCTACACTTGTATGTACTGGTCTCTGTATGCATGGCTTCATCTCTTGTGCCCCTGGTGATCTAGTCCTTCAGGACCCAACCACAAGGCTTCTCCCACTCTGCAGGACGATGCAGTCTCCATTTCCCTGCTGCTGTAGCTTCCACACTGCATTGTATCTGCCTGCAAGCCTCTTCCCCCACTAATTGAGCTCCACCAGGCCAGAAACTAGCAGATTCAGCCTGTGTCCCTCCCCTGGTGGCTCAAGGAATGTGTTGAGTGGAGATTAGTCAAGTTCCTCTAAAACCCACTGCCATGGCACAGACAGAAGACAAACAGGGGAGGGTTGCAGAGGCAGCTCCATGGGCCCATAGGTGGAGCATCTGCCCATGGCCAGCCCTGCTTTCTCCTAAGCGCCCACATGGACAAGGCCAGTGTCCCGGAAGAGCAGGTGGTCCTCATTGATGAGCAGCTGCACTCTCCAGAGGGCCTGGCGGTGGACTGGGTCCATAAGCACATCTACTGGACAGACTCAGGCAATAAGACCATCTCAGTAGCCACCGTTGATGGCCGCCGCCGATGTACTCTCTTCAGCCGTGAACTCAGTGAACCCCGAGCCATTGCTGTTGACCCCCTGCGAGGGTAAGTATCCCCATTCAAACTTGGATTTTCACCTGCATAGGTGTTCCCATGTGTCTGTTATAAGAGCTGTCAAGGGTTCAAGAAGCCTGTAGGCCAGTCAGACACAGGGAAGGAAGTCCAAATGGTCCTCATCCTATTTGTCTCCAGCCAAGGTATTGGTCATTAATCACCCGAGATCTCCCCTGGACTCTTGACTCATTCACTGTATCACTGAAATGGCACATCTTGGAGCACTACGGGACCAGAGATTCCTGGAAGTAGCTTCCAGGGTAAGGGCCCTTCAGGCTTCTGTAAGTGGGTATCTGGAAGCTGCTCAACCTTTTTCAGGGACAGAGCACTCATGGAGACTATTTCATTGTGAAATACCTTCCTACCCATTACACAGTGGAGTTTTTCCTCATAATCTCAAGGCTGTTTCCCTAAAGCTTTCCCCAGTGGGAGTTACATCGACCATGCATTCAGTACAACCAGTAAGATTTGAAGTCTAAGGTCGTTGGGGCTGATCTGCTCCTAGATCCTCACCTCTCCCCACCCTTGTTGCTCAATATGTGGGCCCCTTACTGCCTAGGCTGCTTTATTCTGGCAACACCTGGATCGGGGCTTAGGAATCCTGAACAATACCTTCTTCCTCCCTCAGTAGAAGTGTTCTTTCCTCCTTGTTCTTAGTTGTTAAGAAGGGATAAGGAACCCTTTTAAACCTCATGAAAGTGTGAATCAGGAACAGTGGGCTGCTATGATCTCTATTAGAAATGAGGGTCTAGGAGCAGGGGCCTGAGTTAGGATGGTCATCGTCTTTCTTCTCTGTAAGTCAGGAGAGGTTTGCAAGGACCCTTCCCACACAGATGTCCTAGGGCTGGGTTCACAGGCTATTCAGCTGAGACTGGGTAGATTGGGGGTAAGCTGAGCAAGTTAAAAGTGCCTGCTAATTATAAGATTTGATAGTTCCAAAAGCTTTCAGAAATTTCCCCATTAAATATAATCCCCAACTATTCAGTGGATCACCAAGTCTTTGAGACTCAAACCATCCCAATTGTCCCAAACAAGAAGCTAAATTTGGGCTCTTCTCTCTTTCAGGTTCATGTACTGGTCTGACTGGGGATTCCAGGCAAAGATTGAGAAATCTGGGCTCAATGGTGCAGACCGGCAAACACTGGTTTCAGACAATATTGAATGGCCCAATGGAATCACCCTGGGTGAGCCCTGCCTATCTACCTGAGTTGGGAGCCTGCACTAGAATTGATCTTGACAATTGTTAGGAGTTCCATGGGTCTGATTTCAATGTCCCCGCATGGTGGCCCAGTATCTTTGTTCCCTCAGCCTAAGTTCAGTGTGAGGCCTAGGAATGAGGGGAGAGAAGTGTATAGCAGCAGGGCAGAGATGCAACCTCAGTACTGATGTCTGACCTGATCCCTCCTCCCCAAGACTTGCTGAGCCAGCGTTTGTACTGGGTGGACTCCAAACTGCACCAGCTATCCAGCATTGACTTCAACGGAGGCAACAGGAAGATGCTGATTTTTTCCACTGATGTCCTGAGTCACCCTTTTGGGATAGCTGTATTTGAGGTGAGTCCTAAGGGGATAGGCATGACCCTGCTGGAAATCTGAAACCAAGAAAAAAGCTTGTTCAAATAGAATGCTGCTCTGAGACTTGTCCAAAGGGAAACAAAAGATCAGGGAAGCCAACTGCCATGTTTGTATATACCCTGAGAGCTGCCTACACAGAGGTACTGCAGCCTTTCCTGTGCTTGCTCTCCCCAAGAGCCTAATTCAGAGAATGTCACAGGTAAATTATTCAGCACAAATGCTTCCTCTCCAAATCCTTAGCACCTAACACTATATCTCATATACGAAAGGCACCTAGCAAGAGGAGGAAGGGGGAAAGGAATATGTGTTTCCTTAGAATCATTAGTATAGTATGTATAGCATAGATGCTATGCAGGTCAGCTCATTTCTGTTGACCTTTGTGGAATCCCAGGATCATAGAAGTAAATCAGACACTATCCAAGCCCTCAAGAAGGTAGAGTCAGGAAACCTATCTGCCCTGACCCTGACATCCTTTCTTCCTGAGAAAAAAGGAAGCCAGAACCTACCAGAGTTTCTTACACTCTTCCAGCTCTTCCCAGAACTAACCCTGCCATCATGGGAGGGGGAGTGAGTGAGGAGATGATGGTCTGTGGTGGGCAATAGCAGTGTTTTCTTAGAACAGCTTCATTCAGTACTCCTTGAACTTTGAGCAAAGTATCTCCTCCAAATCCAGCCTCTGCTTCAACTCAAGTGTAGGGCTGGCCTTCTTGTCAAAGCACAGAATCACCAAATTATCATCTACGGTAAAAGGAAACTAGGAGAGTTCGCATCACCGTCAGAGGCAAAACGTCCTCTGAAAACCTGTGGGCAGGGTACGTAGCTCTGAGGAGCTGTCGGGTCAGTTCTTCCCATCACTGGTTTGGGGCTAGGCCCTAAGACTGGGATCATGAGTTGAGATTTCGGGCTCCCTATCCTTTACATCTGTGTTCCACAGGACAAGGTATTCTGGACCGATCTGGAGAATGAGGCCATTTTCAGTGCAAATCGGCTCAATGGCCTGGAAATCTCCATCCTGGCTGAGAACCTCAATAACCCACATGACATAGTAATCTTCCATGAGCTGAAGCAGCCAACAGGTAAATAAGGCTTTCCCAGTCCCTGGCTGCCTGCCTGTGTCCTCTCCTGCCACTTGGCAGGCTGTTTCTTTCCATTCATGCCATGACCCAGCATCCCCAGGAATACAGTAATCCCTCTTGTAGAGCATGTTGCCATAGTGTCTCGTTTTGCTTCAGTTTCTGTGTGAAGCAAGGCTAGGAAGAAATGAACACATAAGTTTCCTAGTTCTGCAAATACTTTAACAGGTACTTACTATTTCCCATTCAATTCTCAAGGAGACAAAACACTCTTAGCAGATGAAAGACCAGAAATGCACACTCAGGTCCACCTGCTTGCACAGTTCTTTCGGTTGTGGCACATCTTGCTCACTTCTTGCACCCACTTTGTAGCAATATAAAGAAATGTGTCCTAAGGCAAGCCAGGGGGCTCATTGGGAACAGATCTGGTTATCTTTCCACTGGGTTGTCTCCGCCTCTGTCACTACTGACTGTAACAGGTATTGGCTGCCAGGGTGAAGGGGACAGCAAAGAGGGCCAAGGAGATAAGTTTGGTGCCTGATTCTAGTTCTAGGAATTTAAAGAAGAGATGACATGAAACATAGAGGAGGAAAAATCAAGATAAAAACAGTAGGGGGGGTACTTTAATCAGTATACCTCAATTTAAAGTCTGTCTCAAAAACTCCTAGAGTTGTGAGTTGTGCATTATTCTGTGAGCATCAGCTCATCTGTCAGTCAGGAACATAGCACTTACCTCTCAGAACTGTAAGAGCTGAATGAGAGTGTAAAGTACTAAGTACTGTGCTGGTAGGTGCCCACACACAAGTAGACAAAGATTTTGAGCAAGTCCAGTTGGTGGAATATCATTATTGGTGGACAAGAGGACCTGGCATGGCCTGTCAGCATTCCAACTTAGTGTCTGTCTCCCCCTCCCCTGCCATTAGCTGCAGATGCCTGTGAACTGAGTGCCCAGCCCAACGGTGGCTGCGAATACCTGTGCCTTCCTGCTCCTCAGACCTCCAACCACTCTCCCAAGTACACGTGTGCCTGTCCTGACACAATGTGGCTGGGTCCAGACATGAAGAGATGCTACCGAGGTTTGTGACAGACGCTGCCTTGGCTTCTAGGATACAATACGCTCCTGGTTTTCCTCTGTCTTCCCTGGTTGCTTGTCACATTTGCATATTCCTCTTTTTTAACCTTCCTTGAGTTCCTGGGAGCCTTCTAAGGCTCTCCCATCTCCCAGAAAAGTGAACATATGCATAAAGTAGTTTAAATCCAACTTTCAGGAAGTCCCTGAAATCCCTTGAAAACTTCAAGTTAATGGGGCTAGAGATGGCTTAGTGGTTGAGAGCATTTGTTGCTCTTGCAGAGGACCCTGGTTTAGTTCCTAACACCCATATGGTGGTGGCCATCCTTTACTCCATTTCCAAGTGATCCAATCTTGATGTCTTCTTCTGACCTCTGAGGGTTCTCAGGCAAGCACATGGTGCACAGGCAAAACATCCATAGATAAAAAACAAAACAAATAAATCTTCTTTAAAAACTTAAAGAAAACCTCTAGTTAAGAACCCTTGGTCTCCACATCTCCACTGACTGTCTCTACACAGGTGGCTGTGTTTGCCTGTTTCTTAGCGAAACCTAGCACGTGTCACAGACGCCCTTGCGGCACACTTGTAACAAATGATGGGATAGTACTTCATCCTCATAAACAGGGTTGATTTCCCATCTGCATGTACAGTCAACACCTTTGGCTTGAACATTAAGTCTATTGCTTCACTTATAATGGCCAGGTTCAATTGTTTAATGCAAAGAATTTAAACCTAATGATGTAACTATATATTAGGATAAAATGCTTATAGATTTGTATGATTTCTGCTCACTCTAGTCTTTTACAGAGGCCTCTTCCACACTTATTTCTACAGCACTGTTTCACTGACTCATCAAATCAAAGTGAAGTGCTAGGATTTCAGGATTCAGCTGAAGAGAAGATCATGGCCCATTCAGGGGGATGAGGGAAAGTTTCACAAAAGTGGTATCTGAGCTAAACCCAGAGGATGAGTCCCTCCGTGTAACTTATAGCAGCAAAATTTAGGCACTAAACAACAAACTGCTCTGTCTAAGTGACTTGCCTGGTGTCTCCCCTCCAGCACCTCAGTCTACCTCAACTACAACGCTAGCCTCTGCTATGACAAGGACAGTACTCGCCACCACAAGAGCCACTGGAACAACTATCCATGACCCTACCTACCAGAACCACAGTACAGAGACACCAAACTGGACAGCTACTGTTCCAAACTCAGTTAGTGTCCCCAGGGCTCCCAGCATCAGCCCATCTACCCTAAGCCCTGCAACCAGCAACCACTCCCAGCACTGTAAGGAAATTGCCTCTGCAGTTTTTCATGACTTGGGGGAGTCCTATGGAAGCCAAGATGAAGGTTGGGGGTGGCTGGGAAGGGAGATCTTACCAGAACTAAGTAATGTCCACCTCTTAGGAGGAAATAAGGGAGGAAAGGGGCCATTCTGGATTGAGGAAACTTGGGTGTCCAAAACTTCCAAAGGGCTTGGAAGCAAATATTCATTACATCCCTGAGCCTCAGTTTCTTCTCCTAAAAGGAGCAAATAAGCTATCCACTACTTGCTTCTTAAGATGGTCAGGAGAGGCAAAGGAGCCTGGTGTGGTGGTACACATCTTTAATTTCAGCACTTAGGAGACAGAGGCAGGTGCATCTCTGTGAGTTTAAGGCCAACCAGGTCTACATAGAGAGTTCCAGACGAGCCAAAGTAACATGGTAAGACCCTACCTCAAGAGGGGTGGGCAAAAGAGGCACTGTAAATGGAAATGCCTGATGCCTAGGTGTATGTCAGTGTTCCATGAGTTCCTGAGGTGGGTGTCATCAAGTTTAGAAAGCTCCAAACTGAGCTCCCAGCAGCCTTGGTGAGCTGCCTACACAGTAACATCTATAACGTGATCTGCTTATGCCTGTTGCTAAACCCTGGGATAAAATAATCAAGCTCACCACTTCTTAAATCATTGGAAGCAGTAATTGTCTCTGTTGGAACTGCTCTATCTCATTAACCAGAAAATACCTCTGTAATTACTATGGGGAGTTCATTTTAAATGCTAAACCATCCCTCACATTTTTTTCCATACATGGCTGGCCCAGAAACCAAGCAACCTGGTGACACCCTTCAGATCAGGGCTGTTTGGCCAGCAGAAGCTAGATTCTAAAATAGAGTACTCCCCCTGGTGTTTGCAAAGGAGGTAGAATTCCATTTCCTCTCATCTGGGGCAGAGCTCTGAGCAATCCTCACAGGCCTCAGGAAGTTCTAGCACATCACAGCAAGAGGACATCAGTGCTTCCAAATAGCTTGTTGTTGGTTTGGTTGGGTTTTTTTTTAATCTCTTTTTCTCCTTTTTTTTGGTGTGTGTGCGTGCGTGTGCGTGTGTGTGTGTGTGTGTGTGTGTGTGTGTGTGTGTGTGTGTGTGTGTGTGTGTGTATGCATGTAGAGGCCAGAGATCAACTTTGAGAACCTTCTCAATAGTTCTCTATCTTAATTCTTGAGGCAGAGTCTCTCACAGAACCTGGAGCTCATTGATTGAGCTAAACTGGCTGGCTAGCAAGCTTCAGGTTTCCTCCTGTCTCTGCCTTCTCAGTGCTGGTACTGTGGACACGTGATGCTGTGCCTGGCTTTACACATACTGGGGAGCAGAATTCAGACCCTCATTGTTACATGGCAAGAGCCTAACAAGTGAGCCATCTCTGCAGCCCCCTCCAGTTAGCTTTCTTAAACAGCACAGCTCTCTGATTAGTCAGATTTGCCTGAGGTAACTTGGAGAAATAGATTGAGGGGATGGGTTTGGGGACATTGCCAGGGAACACTCATCACCTTATGTGAAGCAAATATGGCTAGACGTTCCTCTTCACACCCCATAGGGCTCTCATGGGATCCCAAGGGATAATGCTCTACAGATGTCACAAGGAAGATGGTTGTGAGTTAGCAAAGGAAATTTATTTAAAATGCAGCATATTTTCCAAGCACTCTTCACCTTAAGAATATGCTTTTTTGTGCCTTTAACAAGAACCCTTTATTTAGAGATAGTGCCTCACACTGGGCAGTGGTGGCTCACACCTTTAATCCCAGCACTTGGGAGGCAGACCTCTGTGAGTTCGAGGCCAGCCTGGTCTACAAGAGCTAGTTCCAGGACAGCCTCCAAAGCCACAGAGAAACCCTGTCTCGAAAAACCAAAAAAAAAAAAAAAAAAAAAAAAAAAAGGCGGGGGGAGGAAGAAAGAAAAGAGATAGGGTCTCACTATGTAGCCCAGGCTAGTCTGAACTCTTTCCTTACCATCTTGAGTGGTGGGTTATATGCATGCACTACCATATGTTTTTAAATGTAGCCTTTATAACCACTCCTACCCACCTCACTACCCTCTTGAATTTGGCAAGGCCAACTAGACATTGTGCTAACTATCTTACAATAATTGTCTCATTTAATCCTTGAATGTGTTCCAAGGAGGTAGAAAATATTTTGAGATAAATATAATGTACATTACATGTCTAATATTATATTAACTTTCACGGTGTCACACAGGTAATGAGTAATAGACATAGAATTTGAACCCAGGTAGCCTGATCCAGAAGCCTTATGCTTCTGATTACACTCTACTACATTCTAGTGTATCTCATTTTAATGTTAGGAAACATGCTAGTAATGCATGTGACAGGCAGCCCACCAAAAAACAGTGAAGACAATGTGTTGGATTTTGTATGGAAAAGACATCTGACCCTCTTAGCAACAAGGAGACCTAAACACTGACCTGCCATGCACAGCCCTCAGCTTCCTATCATCCTGATGCTATGGGAAGAGTATGGGGCTTGGGTCATGAGTCCTGAGTTCAAGTCCTAACCTTGCATTTATCAAAATTTAGTTTGCTATATGTGAAATAGAAATAACTTCTTTCCTATTTGCCTCAGGAATTTTGATGAAATTTAGTAAGACTGAGTTATTATATAATAGCTGGGAGCATTATTTTAGAGTGAGGACAAGAAGAGGTTGGATGGTTCTTACAGCTTGAGGCTAGTGAGGGCTTAGATTCACAGTGGTAGAGCACCATTCTTTAAATGTTTTACAGATGGGAATGAAGGCAGTCAGATGGGCTCAACAGTCACTGCTGCTGTCATTGGCATCATCGTGCCCATAGGTAAGTGTGGCCCCAGTCAGGGGAGGGTAAAAGGACTCTTTCAAGCTTTGGGAAAGACACTAGGGGGATAAAGAACTTTGCATGCTGCCTGCTTCAATTTGGGTTCTTGCACGGCACATGGTGCTCTTCAGCTTCTGGCCCTGTGAACATCCAGCTGCATCTCCCTGCTCCGCCCCACACTTCACACCCAGCCTCACACCATGTAAAAACCAAATGAATGCTCCTTGGGGATCCAGCAAGTGCCTCTTGTTCACAACTCTCCCAAGCTCCTAGCAATGGCTGGCACATGATAGGGAATTATATGTTTGTTAACTGATGAGCAAACTGCTTGCCATTTCTTGAAATAATAATCCTGTCTTGTTTTCTTTCTCTTTGGTTTTCAATAAACATTTATCAAGCAGCTATTATATGCCAAATTCTAATAAAGAAAGGGAAAGTAATAAAAGAACATGTAAGACATGGTCCTGTCCTGTAAGTCCATTGTCTAGCAGTGTAACTTAGTGGATAAAAACACTTGTCACCAAGGCTGACTACCTGAGTCCTATCCCTGGAAGTCACATGGTGGAAGGAGAGTTGGTTCCTGCAGCTGGTCCTCTGCTCTCCACACACCCTACCTTGTAGTATGCATTGCCTACCTGCCCCCACCATAAATAAATAAGTGTAATTTTAAAAAGCAGCAGTCTTATCCAAGGGACACATGTAACACAGGTAAGTGCATTAGGACATGGTAAATTGTAAGAGTAAGCTATGTTACTGAGTTGAGTAGGAATGCCAAGGAATCACTTGGTCTCAAAGGGAAGAGGACAGGCAAGGTTTCCCACTTGAAATAATCCTTGAGCTGGGTTGGCCAAATGAAGACTCATGAGCAGCCCAAGCAGTGCAAAGCACGAGCAAAGCCAGGAATGGGCGAGGCAGGGAGCAAGTCTGGGAGGTTAAATTAGGAGTTCAGTATACACAGCAATCCTGGTTAAGACTCACAACCTAGGGTTGACTCCTGCTTTCACTTTGATATTCATATGTGTCTTATATATCCATTCTCTAATACCTGCCACATATCTTAGCAGCACTTTTGAGTTGGATTGCCCATTCTTAGGTTTATCTCCTGTCTTAGGGCTACTATTGCTGTGATAAACACCATGACCAAAGCAACTTGGGGAAGGAAGGGTTTATTTGGCTTACACTTCCACATCACTGTTCATTATTGAAGGAAGTCAGGACAGGAACTCAAACAGGGCAGGAGCTGATGCAGAGGCCATGGCTGCTGCTTGCTGACTTGCTCTTCATGGCTTGCTCAACCTGCTTTCTTGCAGAATCCAGGACCACCAGCCCTGGACCCTCCTCCATCAATCATTAGTTAAGAAAAATGCTTTTCAGACTTACCTACAGTCCAATCTTATGGAGGCATTTTTTGGGGGAGGGTAGGGGTATTTCTCTGTGTATCCCTGTCTATTTTGGAACTCACTCTGAAGACAAGACTGACTTCAAACTCACAGAGATAAACCTGCCTTTCCCTCCCAGCTGCTAGGATTAAAGGTGTGTGCCACCACTGCCTGACTGGAGGCATTTTCTTAATTGAGGCTCCCTCCTTTCAGATGACTCTAGCTTATATCAAGTTGATATAAAATTAGCCAGGACATCTCCCTTGCAGACTCTGTTCTTTTATAAATCACATACAGTAGATGCTAGTGCATAGTATGTATAATGTGCTGTAACAGGCATGACAGATACATAAGTGTGGTATAACAGCATCCTGATATTCCTGTGGAGGAAATGGAAAGGTAGTCCCAGAGTGAAAGTGATGGTTCTAGAGAAGATAGCATTCAAATTGGTCTTGAAGGGGTCAACACAAAAGATGGTGGAGACACTACTGTTCTAGTTTGTTTTGAGTGACCCTGTTCCTGCCATCTATGCGTGCTTTCTGGTTGTTACAACTCCTCTGAAATAATATTTAACTGTCTAGTCATCTGAAGGGGAAAGGATAAGCTCCCTAGCCATTTATTTGCATTTTATTCTGTAGGATTTGCCTACTCAGTCTCATTTGTTCATTTGGTAAGATCTTATTTGTAGAAATACATAATAAATATTAAAACAATAATAACATATGAACAAATATTTTCTCCCAGTCTGACACTTGATTTTAAATTTGTTCCTGGTATCTTTTATCATTCATAAATTTACATTTTTAAGTATCATCTATTAATCTTTTGTTTTATGAGTTCTGGATTTTCTGTCTTGCTTAGAAAGGCCCATTCATTCTGAATTATTAAAATGTCTCCTAATATTTTCTTCTAATTTATATTCTTTATTATTTTAGAGTATGGCATGAGATAGATTTAACTGCTTTCTTTTCTAATTGATATACCATTACTAATCTATGGCTGTTTTTTAATAGCTGTATATAGATTCTCCAAACCCATTATATTTAGGGATCCATCATTTCCTTCTGACTTGATCATCTTTATTGTAATCTATATGCCTATACATGCTAGCCTGTGTAGTCCCCTTCACCTATTATCTGACTAGCAATACCTTATGAAATGTGATTCTTGTAAACATTTTCTTAAATGTTTTTTATCTGACTTCTCTTCTAGATGAACTTTAGAATAATTGTGCTATTTTGTAAAATTTATGATAGAATTTTCATTGAACATGCTTTGGATATATTCATTTATGTAAGGGGAACTCACATTTTTACAGGATCAAACTTTCCCATCCAGGACCTGGCATCTCTCAGCGTTCACTTATGTCCTTTAGCAGGACTTGATAGATGGCATTTGCCTACTTCTTGTTATGTTATTCCAGGTATTTTGTAACTTCTACAGGGCTATTATATATGTGCTTATTATTCCATGACATTTTCTAATTGGTTATTTATTTGGGGGATTATGTTTGTTGGGGTAGGTGTTTTTTGGGACAGGGTTGCAGAGATGCTGTAAGCCAGATTTGCCTGAGCTCACTATGTAGTCCAGACTGTCCTCTGTAGGCTGGCGGGTCTATGTCAGTTCAGGCCAGGCTGTTCTACAGAGTAAGTTCCAGGACAGCCAGGGCAGTTACACAAGAGAAAAACCTGTCTCAAAAACCAAACCAAATTTTAAAAAAAACAAAAAACAAAACGAACAAACAAAAACTCCAGGCCTAAGGGAGCTGCAGTCTTTCCAGAGTAGTTGGGAAAGACTTCACATTTGAGCTGGATCAAACGATGAACGAGTAAAGGAAAGCTGTGATTAAAGGACTTTCAAGCAGGAGAAAATGAGCATACAGAAACAGGACTGGGAAGCAAAGACCAGTAGCTAAGGTGAAGAGGTGACAAGATCTGTGTTGATGCTGGGCCAGAGCTCCTGACTGTTCAGTGTGCTGTGCCCTTCCTTCCAGTGGTGATAGCCCTGCTGTGCATGAGTGGGTACCTGATCTGGAGAAACTGGAAGCGGAAGAACACCAAGAGCATGAATTTCGACAACCCGGTGTACAGGAAAACGACCGAAGAAGAAGATGAAGACGAGCTTCATATAGGGAGGACTGCTCAAATTGGCCATGTCTATCCAGCAGTAAGTGTTCCTCCATATGAGCACTCCCTCCCTTCTGTCCTCTCACCCTATCCCTCCCTCCTTCCCTCCCTCCCTCCCTCTCTTCCTTCCTTCCTCCCTCCCTCCTTCCTTCCTTATCAAGAACCTGCCACATATCAGCCATTGTTCTGGCTCTGGGAGAACACAGACATAATGAGGCAGGTGGGGGTGTAGCAGAATATTAGGACCACCTTTTACCTAGAGGCTTTTCCTGGCAGTTAAGAAGCTAAATGCCTTTCTGCAGAAGGGTAACTGGCTATTTAATCCATGCATATATGAATTCCAACAAACTGAGTGCCAGTTAAATACCAAATACCACACTAACATCAAATGTTCAGAATTAATAAAGGAACGCATTGCTTCCTAAGTAGCTGTGAGGGAGTGAGAGATGCTAAGTGTCATGGTGGAGGTTGAAGAATCTACCCTTCTAAGAAGCCTTCCTAGGCTTGCTTTCTTCTCCCACTCTCTCCTGACTGGGCCTCTACATCCACAATCCACCTTTTGCTTAAGTGGTTAACCTCCTAGACTCTGAGGGCAGGATCTGATGTGGTCAGTCTGTTTTCCTGGGCTTAGCTTAGGACAGCTGGCTTCTAACAAGCACTGAATGAATGAATGAACGAATGGTATAGAAGCATAGAAAGGGAGCTGCTAATTCTGTCTGAGGAACTGGGGTACACAATGACTCATAGTAACAGATGTACTGTCCTTAAAAATAGCAACTTTTAGGTAAGGAAGAATGGAAATGGCATTCCAGACAGAAAGGCTTAGCAGCACAAAAGAGCATGGCCTAATGGGGAACAAGAACCATGACGTGGTTAGACCAGGTGTCATTGTTGTACAGCAGAGTCAGGGGGCTGAGTATGACCTCAAAGGTCATCCAGTCCATCCCCCCTGTCAGGCAATCAGCAGCTTTGATCGCCCACTGTGGGCAGAGCCCTGTCTTGGGGAGACCAGAGACCTGGAAGACCCAGCCCCTGCCCTCAAGGAGCTTTTTGTCTTGCCGGGGGAACCAAGGTCACAGCTGCACCAACTCCCGAAGAACCCTCTTTCCGAGCTGCCTGTCGTCAAGTGCAAGGTAGGGCAGTGCCACTCTGAGCCTGAGGGGCTGGTGAGCGAGGGCCTTCAACCTAGGCAGACACAGCAAATCCTAGGAAGCCTTCTGCTTTTGGAAGGCTACAACTGTAAGCTAACTACTGGGGCAGAGGAAGCCTGGGCTTGTCACAGACAGAGGAAATGGCATGTGGGATAATGTTACTGAATGTGTGGAAGCTGTTTATAAAGGAGAGATGTATAAAACAAAGTTGAACAGTGTTGTGAGGGTTAGCAGGTGGCCTTAAGCCTCCTTAATTGTGGCCAGTGCAAGCAAACAGATTTTGACGAGATCAGAGAAGGCACAGTACAAGAAACCTTGAGCTTGAAGGAGATGGCTCTCAGTTCCACTGTTCCATAGCTCTGTGGTCTTGTCTATTTACATTTATTAATGAAATGAGAGTGATAATCCCAATCTCTCTGCTTCCTGGTTATAATATTTAAAAGCATTTTGTAAATTACAAATCAGTCTACACTAAAGTAACATCATCTCCAGAGCAGGAAACAATGCAGTGAAGTTACCCCTGATTAATATAAGGCCTGTGTGATATGCTCCTTCTAGTCAGAGAAAGACAGAAATGGACTGAGCAAAGTGGTATTTAGCAAGCTTCTACTGTGTCACACACTGCTTTCAGCGTTTCACATATCTGTCTCTCATTTAGTCTTCACAGTTACCATTGGAGGTGATATCATCAGCTCCATTTGCAGTTGAGAAAACTGAGAAACAGAATTGTAATAACTTCCCTGAGAGCATAGCCAGAAAGTGGCAGAACCAAGATTAAACTCCAGGCAGTATGCACAGAGGCCCATGTTCCTTCCACTGTGTCATGGGGTGCATGTCCTTGAAGCTTTGAAGATCAGAATTCTCAGCCACCTGTCTTCTTCTGTCCTTTCCTCCTGTCACTCTGCCATCACTGCTGGGGCCTGTCTTTGGCCCAGAGATAGGCTTGGCAAGAATAAGAGGGTGGTTTGATAATACCACTGTTAGTTAAAGCATGACCAAGTATGCATGGAGAAATTAAAATAACCAAAAATTAACTTGAAAGACAATGGGTTTTTTTGTCATATGTAGCATGTTCAGAAATGGAAACATGCTTATTTTATGCTGGTTAGTTTTGACTAGACTACTCCAGATGTCATACTTGCTGGGTAGCATGTATATGTTCTTTCATTTGGTTTCTGCTGGGTAGCATGTATATATTCTTTCATTTGATTTCTCCTCAATCACATGAAGTAGATCCTAACCTCATTAACAGTTGAGGAAACCAAGGCTTAGAAAAGTGAGGTGAGGGCTATCCCCAAGTCATATAGCTTGGAGAAAGGTAAGAAAACTAGGGTCTATCTATCCAAGGAAGGTGCCCAGGAAATGGGGAAAGTGCAAGTCAAGCTTCTGTCAGGACAAGCTACAGAAAGTTAGAAAGCAGAAAGAGAGGAAAAGGATTCATTTACTCAAAAATAAGTTTTGGAGCCTTCCCGTCCAGAGCTCTGAGACTAATATAGAGGTGGGATCATGAGGAGACGTAAATCAGGAGCTTTTACATGAGATACAGAAGAGAATTTTAGCCCTTAAGGGAATGGAGTCATTGGTCAACCATTTGAGGCAGAAGAGAATTGAGCACACAACTGGAAACAAAGGCAAGGGAGAGAGAGACTGGATGTTATTACTGGTATTGCTTCCCAATGCTCTTTTATCACTTAAGAGAGGTACGGCACAGTACTCACCTAATTGTGATTGGTATTCTGGAGACAGGTGGCTAATTGCCCAAGATTTAACATTTGACATTTAACCTTCTTTAACTTCTCCCAACTTAAAATCCTATAAGGAACCTAAGTTTGGATCTTTGCTACCCTTCTTTCAGGAAGGAAAGAACAAAATGATGGGGAAAAGCTATACTTCTAGATCTGCACAGACATGAGCTCAAACTTTAGTCATTTTCTGTGTGATCCAGAGTGGTATAATTGAGCCTCAGTTTTCTCTTCTCTAAAATAAATATGATAAATCTATGTGATCTAATCTCTATATAGTAATACTATGTCTGGTACTTTTATTGATATTCAGTAGAGATTGCCTCTTATTGATCTAATAATGATTTCTTGATCTATTTCCCCAGCGAGTGGCATTAAGTCTTGAAGATGATGGACTGCCCTGAGGATGGGACCACCCACTTCGTGCCTCATGGAGTTCAGTCCTATGCACTACTCTCTCTGGATGATGTGTGACTGGATGAATGCCATTTCTATATATGGGTCTGTGTGAGTGTGTGTGAATGTGTGTGTGTGTGTAACTTTTTTTAAATTTATGTTGCGGAAAGGTAACCACAAAGTTATGATGAACTGCAAACATCCAAAGGATGTGAAAGTTTTTATATGTATAATGTTTTATACACTTTTTAACTGGTTGCACTACCCATGAGGAATTCATGGGACAGCTACTGCTGAGTGACTAACATGATGTATATAACCAAACGGGGGCCAATGGTACAAACTTTACTCATCATTTGAATACTATATTTACAGAGGATGTTTGAGGGCTTTTTTAGGTTTGAGGGGCTTGATTTTTTTTTGTAAATAAAATTATGCTTTGTGGCTATCCATCAACATAAGTATAAAAAGAAAGAACACTTCAACTCCCTTCCTCATTTAGATTATTTATTAACATATTTCAAAAGTAAGGTTAGCTCTATAAATAATTTAGAGAAGTGAGAGTATTTATTTTTGGTATGACTGGCCCACTGCACAGACTCTGTGTTTATGTGTGTATGTCTGTATGAGAGAAAAAAATCTGTAGAGAAGAGGCACGCTTACGACTACTCAAATACATAAAATCAAAATTATTTTAAAACAGTTCACAAGAAGGGTATCTGGTTTTCAGAGACACCTTCAGAAACTTCATTCAGAAAATAGATGGCACAGTTTGTGCAGACATGAGGCTACTCCTGAGGCCTTGGTGAGCTAGCAAGCAGCTTTTCAGCTTGTCCATGGCTGTCATGACACCACCTAGGCTTTCTGATCTGTGGCTTAGGTCAGTGTCCAGAAGCCCCCAGGAGCTCAAGGTAGCAGAGCTCAGCCAGTACTCTTAAAGCTCAGCTCAGTTGACTTCCCTCTGAAGCACCTGCAGGCTGAGCCTCTAGAGCTGCAGTTCTCAAACGACCCTTTCACGGGGTCACCTAAAGCCACTGAAAGACACAGATACTGACATCACGATTCATAGCAGCAGCAAAGTGACAGGAAGTAGCAACAAAAATAATTTTATGGTTGGGGTCACTACAATATGAGGAACTGTACTAAAGAGTCCCAGCATTAGGAAGGTTGAGAGCCACTGCTCTAGAGCTAAGTGAAGACATTTCTAGGATTCCCAAATTACTGTAAGAACTGGCTCAGGAACCTCGGAGTCACCGTGGATGAGGACAAAGATTTTGGAATAGGTTTGATTACATCTGTTTCTCCATCCCCTTACTGTCTACCATTTTCTTAAGTAGGGGAAACATTTTAAAATAATAAATTTCTTACCATCATATGTTCACATGGATAAAACTAAGTTGAAAACAATGACCACATCCAAAGTTCTATTTGGGGGAAAATACCATAGGAGATATTATAGTATATTGGGCATGTGTCCACACAAGGATTTGTTTTACTGCTTTATAAATAAAAGGAAAACTCTGGGTATTTATTATATAGATCTTCATTACAAACACACCTTTTTCTGAGCCTTGGGATGGTGGGGGGAGAACGCCATTTTCTGTCTGTGGGATCCACTATTGGAACATAATCCCATAGTCCTAGAAGGAATTCAGTCCCCCACGAGCTTTCTCTTCCAAAGTATGGTCTTTCCATGATTCTTCTGTTCTGCCAATTCATGCCAGCTAAATGGCCCAGACAAGTACAACATGGAAATATTTGGCTTAAGTGGGAGCAGAGGACCCCACCTGGAACTTGACACTTAAAATGTCTTCTGTTCCCACCCTCCATCCCCCCCCCCCCCCAGTTATTGAAGCTTGAATGTCTCACGAGCTTGAAACCCTCTGAATTTCCAGGCAGGCCATCTGGAGTTCTACCATCCTGTTCCTAGGAGCTTCTTCTATGTCACTCGTGTTTTCCTAACCTTTAGAAAAAAAATGGCTGTGTTCTAAGTGTGGCCATTGTGTCTGACAACTTCTTTCTGGTATACACTGATGATCTTGAGATATTCATTGAATGAATGCAGTTGACCTCTGATTAATTCCAAACAGTCTCAAGAACAGGTAGCAACTCCTATGGAGCTTACTCACTATATTCAAGAATGGAAAGGAATTTAACTGAAGAAAAATGGTGAAAGTGAAAGCATCAAAATTTATACAAAATAAGCAGCTTTCTGAAAATCTGCCTCCAAAGAAACTGAAATAACTACCAGTAGTTGATACATAGTTTCTGAACTTTTAGTTAGATTCTGAACTTCAAAATAAGGTTGAAACATACAGTCTAGGATTTCCAAAAGATGATTCAATTCACAACTTAGAAATACCATATTCTCTGACTATGCTGCAGCCACAGTCTGAAAGCAGAGGCTATAGAAGCACCCTACAACAAACAGACTGACAAATACATGGAGAGCAGTGGATTAGAAGCAGGCTGGGGAGGGATCCTCTTCCTCCTACCCTTGAAGACGTTTTGAGCCTCATTCTGGGTGTATTTCAAATCTGCTGCCTTTTGCTGCTGTGCATGTGTCCACAGTCAGTAACAGCCAGGACACTTAGTGAGAAATCAAAAGGGCAGAAAACAAACTACTTACTAAAAAGAAGTCAGTCCAGTCCTCTTGTTCTCCCTTCTCCAGAACACAACTCTGGGCTGCCTGAACAAGGTATTAAACCTGCTTCCTCTCCCATGACTGTCTACCCAATGGATCGATGAAGGCACTACCATAAATGGCCTTCCTGAAACAAACTAAAACTTTGTTTGCTCTTCAGAACTGTGCATGTGTATATATATATGCACACACCACACACACACACACACACACACACACACACACACACAGATGACTTCTGACTTCAAGGAGTAAAAATAATGATTTGGAATTTAAATGGTTGGCTTAATATTCTTGAGGCCTTCAGTTAATCTTTTTTTTTTTTTTTTTTGGTTTTTCGAGACAGGGTTTCTCTGTGGCTTTGGAGGCTGTCCTGGAACTAGCTCTTGTAGACCAGGCTGGCCTCGAACTCATAGAGATCCGCCTGCCTCTGCCTCCCAAGTGCTGGGATTAAAGGCGGCCTTCAGTTAATCTTATGTATTCAAAACATACTAAGTTAAATGTTTCTCATCCTTTCAAAGCTCACTACAGTAGAAGACACATGGATACAAAAAACAGTAAATTTCACTTAGAATGTGCCAGGACACAACAAAAAAGATGGGTCATTTTATCTGAAAAGATGAAAAATTAGGTCTTCATAGAAGAGACCCAAAGCCAAGTGTTAAAAATTAAAAAGTGGTGTTGAGGCTGCTTCTGGCAGAGGAGACGCCGAGCTAGGACTGAGGCATGAATCGGCAGCAGGGTTCTAAGGAACAACATGTAGTTCATTATATGCCCGCAGTGAAGAACTGAGAGTGGGCAGGAAGTGAAACTGAATGGAAAGACAGGTTCAGTGTAAGCGCTTCATAAAGTAATCTCTGATTTAATTAAGCAGACCTTCCTTTGGTCATTTACTGTGTGCAAGGCATCATGGAAAACTTACTGCCGACACTTTGAAGGCGTAGCATTTTCCACCTCAAGCTTTCCAGTGGCCACACGGAATGCTGATTGCTTTTTATTTATTGTTGGAGTCAGAGATTTTAATATGGTTAGTGAAAACTAATGGAGGGCAGTGGGGTTTTCAACAGAAGTATCCCATGTTTGTTGTCAAGCACCTTTTAGGCCTTTCTCAACTGTGAGAAAGAAAAGAGGGTGAAGACACAGAGTCTGGAAAGGGCATCCCAGTCCCAGTACAGTCGGGTGCCACTGGGTAAAGGAGAGAACAATTCTAACCCCACAGGAATACAAAGACCACTCCCACCCCCACACTCACCACTTTGCAAAACATCAGTAAGTTAGCAAATTCTAAACATCATTTCTTTCCCCATAAATGCATGAAGATAGAGTGTCAGAGTCTCCTTACACTATATTTTTAGGGTATTTGGGAGTTTTCAGGACATTAAGGATTTAGAAGGTGGAAGAAATTAAAACTCTAAATTTTCAGTTACTTAAAGGAAGCTTCATACAGACTGTACACTATGTGCACAGTCTTAAGAATCAGCAGGAACTGCATTTGCAAACATTTTTGTGCTGACAAAACTACTTTTTAAAAAAACTACCTGTATAAATATATATATATATATATACACACACATATATTTAAAGACAAGGTTTTGATACTTTTTTTTTTACAAAAACTACCAGAAGATTGTTCAAACCACAGACTTTTTAAATGGCATTTTGTTCTAAACAGGTTGTTAATGTGAGGGTACTGGTTTGCAAACTCACACTATCCAAATGGGTTTTTGTGTTTGCTAACTCACCCTCCAAATTACCATATTTGGTGTAATAGTAGGGCATGTAAAATGTTGGGTCGCACTAACCATTTCTGCTCTTGTCATATTCATTAGTTTCTGTGCTCAGTGCCTCGGCAATCTAGCTTCTCCCAGAGGCAGAGGGACTGAAGGAGGTGTGCTCCATTTCACTAGATGGTGAACTGAAAACCAAATGTGGACATTTGTAAAATCAGCACACTGTTTCTAGAGATTAAATTCATTTTTTAAAATCTGCTTTGTTTCATTGTGGTGGTTTAATGGGGGAAGGTGTGAACTATCACTAATTAGCTCCCTAATGCATACCAAATGTTTTGCACAGGTCATCTCAATCTTAGCAGTAATCCTGTAAAATAATATTTTCAGTATTACCCACTCCCATTTTTAAAGAAATGGCTAACGTAACTGCCCAGAGCACACAGCTCTTCTTAATAGTCCTAAAGAATAGCATGGGTAGCAGTCTGCCTAGAATTCCCTACTTGTTATTAAGTACTGAATTTAGGTAGTATCTCCTCCAGGAAGCAACCTCTTGTCTGTCTGGGTTAGATGTCTCCACATTTCCATTATGATTTTTGCCTACATGCAGCCCAATGTTTCTGAACTACCACTTACTCTCAAGCCATTGAGGTAATTTTTACCAAGGTCATCTAGGGTCTCTCTTATTTGAAATCTTGTAGACACCTCCAGTCCTTCCTTGACCTAGAAGCAGTATTTAACAGTAGGCCACTCTTCTTGGAATACCCTTATTTTTGTGTCTACACCACCATATTTCTGGTTTTCACCTTACAGTTTTGGGCACAGCTTGATTTCATTTCAAATCCACTTATCAATTTGCATTGCCACTACCTGCACGTGGGTCGTCATCGTATTACTACCATTATGGATTACTTTAACAACTACCTGTCTAAATGTGTTATACTTCTGGTCTTTTCGTTTCCCAGTCTGGTTTTCATGACAGCCAAAGCAGACTTTCTAAAATGCCATTGACACCAGTACTCCAGAGGCAAAGGTGGACAGATATCTGCTGAAGTCCAGTCTGGCCTACCTAGTGAGTTCTAGGCCAGCCAGGGTCACACAGTGATACTCTGTGTCAAAAAACAAAAATCAAATAACATACAAAACCTTGATGCCGAGGTAGTGGTGAGATGGCTCATTTGGTAAAGATGTGTGCCAGTCTCCTATAAACAGAACTTTTACTGCTTTTTACCCTTAAAATTCCCACAGCCAGCAAACTTTCACAGAGGTCAACTTTGACTCTTAAAAACGGCCTCTTAGGTAGTGGTCCCCATGTTTGACTCACCTAGTTTTTGGTTGTGAGCCTAGCCTTTAACGGCTGAGCCATCTCTGCAGCCCGACCCGTCTAGTTTTTGTTTTGTGAGAGGGTCTCACTTTGTAGTCCTGGCTGGTGTGTGGTCCTGTATACTGGGCTGGGTTTAAACTCACAGAAGTCTCCCCACTCTGCCTCTGAAGTGCTGGGAGTAACGGCATGTGCAGACCAGGCTGGCCTGGATCTCACCGAGATGTGCCACTATGCCAAATCCTGGCCTGTGCATTTGGGGGGCGCTGGGCATTTTTGGGGGGTGTCACTTTGGGATTCCATCAGTATGCAGCCAGGGCTGAGAATCACTGTAGGTGAGGTGACTAGGAGCGGGAATCCAACACCCACTTCAGCGGCCACCCACAGCATCTATCCTACACAGCAGTGAGCCTAGAAGACAGGAGAGATGAAAGGCAACTTGTGCATTAAGTGGTGACACTTTGGAGGACGAGGTAGGAGGGTCACAAGTTCCAGGTCAGTCTGGACCATGTAGCAGTACCTTGCCTATAAAAATAAATGGCAGAAAGGGATGTTGGCTGTGCAGGCAAGTTTCAGGCAACATTTCGGATTGGGGAAGGAGTCATTGAAAACAATTTTTTTATTTTGTTGCTTTTTTTTTTTCTCCCTTGGGGGTGGGGGGTCTCGAGACAGGGTTTCTCTGTGTTATTTTGGAGGCTGTCCTGGAACTCGCTCTGTAGACCAGGCTGGCCTGGATCTCACAGAGATCCGCCTGCCTCTGCCTCCCGAGTGCTGGGATTAAAGGTGTGCGCCACCAACTCCTGGCGGCAAACAGCTTAGTTTAAAAGACAGCTAAGAAAGCAGGGTGGTGGACAGTCAGAGCTGTTAAACAGTAAGTCTGTCTCGGAAAAAAAAAAAGTAAAGCGAACATTTTCGAGACAGGGTCTTACTAAAGCAGCCTCCAGCCTCAACTCGTGACTCCTCTGCGTTAAGCTTTGAGTCGTAGGCCACAGCAATTCGCTACTACACTCCCCTTCAAAGCCAACTCCTGATTCAGACACTGGGGATGGGGCAGGGGGCAGCGTGCTCAAAGATGGGTAGCCCATTTTGCACCATGGAGACCACCTGGGTTCCGAGTGTGAATAGCTTCTTCCGACTCACTCACTCGTGTCTTTAAACTGCAGCTGAGCCTCACTGGACTCCAGCGCGCAGCGTTGGCTCTAAACAAATAGGCAAAGGTCTCCAGACGCAGTTGGGGAACCCCAGAACCTTACGGAAGCCCAGGACTTGGCAAAACACTCGACTTCCGGAAAGGAGGAGCGGCGATCTGGTTCTCGACTCGGGCGAGGGGCGTGGTAGTCCCGTTCCCGCCTCCCAAGAGTGAAAAACTGTTAACGTCGCGGTTGTGGCGTCATTTCCGCGCGCCACGAACACGTCAGTAGAGGGCGCAGATCGTGGTAGTGTGATCTGTTCGTGAAGTTCGGTCTTGATTGTCCCTTGTGAGCCATGGAGAGTGACTTCTACCTACGTTACTACGTGGGTCACAAAGGCAAGTTCGGTCATGAGTTCCTGGAGTTCGAGTTCCGACCTGACGGTAAGAGCGGCCTCCCGCCTTCAAGGAGGGGGAACCGGGCCCGGGGGAGGGCGGAGAGTCCGGGCTGCGGAATGTGACAAAGTGAAGGAAGGGACTGAGACCGGAGCTGCTGGGTGGTGAAAGGCGCCGTCTTTTTTTTCGGCTTCAGTGGTTCTTTCTGTCCATACGCCGGAGCTTCTTCTCCTTAGTAACTTTTTAAAAAGCCAGATTGCTTACATTTCAACAAAGATTGAATGTCCATCTTACACCGGGCTGTGCTCCACTCTGGGGACAGAGCAGCGTAGGTAAATGTCCCCTCTCGTGAACATGCGTTTCAGCCCTGGGAGAAACCATAAGCAGTGGTCTCCTGTAGTGAGGAGTGATCAGAAAACAGGGTCGCTTTTTCGAGAGCACGCTGGACTGTGGGCATTTGAATTGAGCCGTGATTGAGAAGGCGGCGGTTTGTGAAGCTCGGGAAGAAAAGCCTTCTGTCGGAGTAGCAAGTGAGAAGGTCATAGGACAGCAAAGAACCGGGCGAGTTTCCGATGGCCGTTGTGATGCTGAGGACAGTAGAGAATTCTAGGGAAACCAGTAGGGGATGATGTTAGGTGTTTGTAGACCGTAAATAGGTGCAGCAGGAAACAGCTTGAAGCTTTTAAGACACAAGGTGTGATGTTCTTCGAAAGTATCCTAGCTCTTGGACAGAATAGACAGGGTGGTGGTTGTCAGGACAGGACATGGTGTGGTGGTCAGGACTAGGACGACTAGGACTGTGGACGTGGAGAAGACTTAGGATACTGTTGGAGACCATTTGGATGTGTCTGATGATATTTTGGGATGGTTTTGACGTAGTGAGGAGGCAAGGACAATTCTACTCCAATCTTTTCCTTTTCAGTTCGTTCTCTATAAGATGGACAAGAGCATGTAGCTGTGTAGTTAGATTACTGTTGTTCTCTGATTGTCAGTAGCTTCCCTCTACCTTCCTGACAAAATTCAAACCATGTCATTCAGCTGAGCTGAGTTCCTGTCTGCCTTTTCAGCCACAGCCCTACACTGCTCTCCACACTGCTTTGTTTCTGCCTGCAACATCCAGCGCTTTTAGTTTTCAGTGTCTTTGGTGTGAATTTGGTCCATAACACCATCTTGTCTGGGTCCCTTAGCCCACACCTACACTTTACATTCTTTCTATGCTCCACCCACCTAAGCCACTTTATGCGTGAAACCTGCTCAGACCTTCAGCCTAAATTAGATACTTCTTCTCCCCAAAGTTCCCTGTTTTTTTTCTACCACATGACACTGTATGCCCAAACTAGCCCTGTGGTTGTACTACGCACAGAAGGACTTATGAACCAAATGTGCTCAATTTAAAAGTATGCAGAAATAGATCATTGCCACAAGACCACATGGGTGTGTGTATGTGTGTATTCGAGTATGCAACTCCTACAGTTTTCAAAATACTTTCAGAACCCAGTTGAGCATGAGCATGCTCTCTGTGTGGGTAACTTAGCAATTATAATTCCTGCTTACAGCTGAGATCATTGGCCTGCCAAAAAGCTATTTGCTAGAGTTGTAATAGAGTCTGTCCAGGCTGGGCAGTCATGGCATACACCTTTAATCCCAGCACTCGGGAGGCAGAGGCAGGCGGATCTCTGTGAGTTTGAGGCCATCCTGGTCTACAAAGTGAGTTCCGTACAGCCAAGAGAGAGAATTGGATATAATTTAGGCAAAGTTGATATTAGTAGGCTACTGATATTTGTTCATGGTTTGTTGTACATTGCATTTATTGTTTTTCCCCCCACAGGAAAACTTCGATATGCCAACAACAGCAATTACAAAAATGACGTCATGATCAGAAAAGAGGTAGGATCCTTTCCTTCACTACCAGTGAGCCCTTTGTTTACCTTGTTTCTGCTCTCTCTGGTAATAGTAATGAGAAGTGAAGAGTGGGGAAACAAATACTTCTCTTTGTTTTTGTTTGTTTCTCTGTATAGCCCTGGCCGTCCTGGAGCTCCCAAACTGGGTTTGAAGGTGTGGTCCATCACACCCAGCTAACCACTATATCTAAGCACCTAGATTATTTCTCAGGTCTTTGATTTGCATGTTTGTTTGTTTGGTTTTGGTTTTTTGGGGGGAGGGAGGTCCAAGGCAGAGTTTCTCTGTGGCTTTGGAGGCTGTCCAGGAACTACCTCTTGTAGACCAGGCTGGTCTCGAACTCACAGAGATCCTCCTGCCTCTGCCTCCCAAGTGCTGGGATTAAAGGTGTGTGCCACCACTGCCCGGCTGCTGTTTCCTTTTAACCACTCAGTCACACTTGAAAATATAACAGGCAGGCTGGACAGTGGAGGCACACGTCTTTAATCCCAGCACTCAGGGCACAGGCAGGCAGATCTCTGAGTTCAAGACCAGACTGGTCTACAGAGTCAATTCCAGGACAAACTCTAAAACTAGAGACACCCTGTCTAAAAAAGGAAAAAAAATGTAACAGTCAAGTATATCATCATACCATTTGGCAGTTAATTTTATGTCAACTCAGCATCCTGTCTTTTTCTGATTTTTGTTTTGTTTTATTTTTTTTTATCATGAGCTAGTGTCTGGAGTATTTTAAGATATGTATCTCCTCAAAAACATGCTTTCCAATTAAGAATAAATAACTAGGATGGAGCTCAGTTGATAGAGTGCTTGCCTTCATGAGGCCCTGAATTTGGTCCTTAGTACCAAAGATCATCCTTGGCTACATAGAGAGTTCAAGGCTACATGAAACCACGTCTTTCAAAAGAAGTAGGAAATATTAGTTGTCTTTCATCTTCATTACAATATATCTGACAGGCTATTGGAGGATTATTGCCAGGAATGATGATACATGTCTACAATCTTAGGACTTCAGAGGTGAAGGCAGGAGGATTAGAAATTCAAGTTCATAGGCCGGGTGTTAGTGGCGCATACCTTTAATCTCAGTGCTGGGGAGGCAGATGCAGGCGGATCTCTGTGAGTTTAGACTAGCCTGGTCTACAGAGCGAGTTCCAGGACAACCTCCAAAACAATACAGAGAAACCCTGCCTCCAAAAACCAACAAATCAATAAGTAAATTCAAGTTCATATCAAGCTTGAGGCCAATCTGGGTTGTGAGACCGACCCTCTTTCTAAAACAAAGAAGAGATTATTTAGCTCATCGTTCTGAAAGTTCAAAATCCAAACATTACTGCAGTATGTGTGACCGTGTAGTGACTGCTCAAACCAGGGGGGTGATTCAGAAACAGACACTGGGCCCTGCAGTTCCTCTGACAGTATGCTGCAATAATCTGAGGACCTTGCGGTACGTAATTCCTACCTCTTCAAGATCCGTACCACTTCCATAGTACCACCCTGAGGACCAAACCTTTAGTCACATAAAAGGAGTTGGTTGGGAAAGACACACTGAAATCATGTCCAAAAGGGTGAAAAGGAGTCAGGGAAGTCCCTTGAATCCTTCTGTCCTTGTGGCCTACTCATATACTAAAGGCCACTAGTTTCACACTGGGGGTTAAGTTTCAACCTAATTTGGAGGGATACATTCAAATCACAGCAGAGAAAAGATTATGTGAACAGACAGGTGTATTGTCTTTGGGTACTTTTGATCCTGACCCTCATGGAGTCTTGAGAAACAGATCTTCAGGAGCAGTCGTTTTTATCTCCCATTACTTTCTGGGTCAGAATGTTGTTGAGGTAAGGCAGTTTGGATGAGAATGACCCCTATAGGCTCATGTATTTTAAACTTGATTTTAGGCATATGTACATAAAAGTGTAATGGAAGAATTAAAGAGAATTATTGATGACAGCGAAATCACCAAAGAAGATGATGCTCTGTGGCCCCCTCCTGACCGAGTAGGCCGGCAAGTGAGTGCTTCATTGGTCGTACTTGTCCTTCTTACAAAGGAGAGTGGACTACTGCTCTACGGGACATTTCAGCGGGATGGGGAATCATTAATTCCGTGTAGTTAGAATGTAACTCAGGGAGGTTCTTTTAAAATGTAAGTTGTGCTGAGCATGTCTCTAATCTCAACAAATGGGAAACAGAGGTGGTGCGTCTCTGTGAGATCTAGGCCAGCCAAAGGTACATAATGAGACCCATCTTAAAACACAGAAACACCTTTCTTTTCCCTAAAGGAAAAGATTTAAACTTGATTTTTTAAAAGATTTATTTATTATGTATATAGTCCTCTGTCTGCAGGTACTCCTGCACATTAGACGAGAATGCCAAACCCCATTATAGATGGTTGTGAGCTGTGGTTGCTGGGAATTGAACTCAGGACCTCTGGAAGAGCAGCCAGTGCTCTTAACCTCTGATCCATCTCTCCAGCCCCAAATTTGACTTCTTTAATTACATTTAAAACTTGTTTTATTAAAGACATCTAACTAAAGTTGAAACAAACTGGAAAATATATCTGACAAGGAGTTTCTCTCTAAGAATATGTGAAGAACTATAAACCAATAAAAAGATAACCCAGGGGGGTAAAATGTTGCAAAGGATATAAATAGACAGTTTACAGACTCAAAGAGTAGCCAGGAAGCATGGAAAAGATTTACAGGTGTATTTGTAACCTGTAAAAATTAGGGCATCACATTGTTGAAGCCTCACTCAGGTCTTCAGAAGAATAAAAGAGTTCATGCACTGATGGCAGGAACAGAGCACCAGTGTGGCCACACTAGGAGGCCATTTGATGAGAAGCTGACAGAGAGGAGATTATTACTTTTGGTGGGACTGGGGACCTAACTCCAGGACTAGAACAAAATGTTTACTGTGAGCTCAACTCCAAGATCTAGAATATTCTTGCCACATTATAAATGATGTAACAAAAGTTGGGAACTTAAGTCTGCTTCAGTAAGGAAATGGTATGTTCAACATATTTAAATTGTTGAGTAGTTCAACATGGATAAATATTAGAAACAATATTGAATGAAAAAAATATATATATATACACACACATCAGGTAGGGTCATTTAAAGTATGCTACTAAATCTAAAAAAGCAAGTGAAAGTAATACATGAATACATGCCAGTTTTAGGGGATGCCAGAGAATAGAGTGGGAGACAGGTATAACTTGTGTTTCTTTTAAAAAGATGGGGATGGGGAGCAGCAAGATGGACCAGTGGGTAAAGGCTCTTGCTGCTACACCTGTCGGCTTGAGTTCACTCTCCATAATCTACATAAAGGTGTAAGGAGAAAATTCCCATAAGCTGTCCTCTGACCTCTACGAATGTGCCTGCACGCATACATCATACACACACACCAATAAGTGAGTATTACTTTAAAAGAAAAGGAGCTGGAGAGATAGCTTGGTGAATAAGATACTTGTCATGCAAGTATGCAAACCAGAGTTTGGATGACCCCTTGTCCTATATGTTTGATTAATGATCCAATACTGCATGTGCATATATATATTTATTTATTTCTAGGAGCTTGAAATCGTCATTGGTGATGAACACATTTCTTTTACAACATCAAAAATTGGTTCCCTTATTGATGTCAACCAGTCTAAGTAAGTATATATGACATTTATATCCAGTTGTATCTGTTGTTGGAGATTAAAAAGAAAATGTCAACCAGATGGGGTCAGCATAGAAAGATGTGGTGCAGACATAAGACAAGTCAGCATGGTCCTCATTCATAGGGGGCTTCAAGTTACATCTGTCTTTCAATATCATGGAGGGCTGGCTCCAGGAATTTTGTTACTACAGTCCTTGAATGCTCGGTTCCCTTATAGAAAATAGTGTCATATTTTCACAGAATCTGTGTACCTCCCATATACTTTAAATCATCTTTGTAAAACCGAATTCTTTGTAAATAGCTGTTACATCATTTAGAAAATAACAGCAGGAAAAAACATGTTTAAATTTGAAATCTTGAATCTAAATTTTATTATTTTTTAAAGGGTTATTTATTTATTGCATATACAGTGTTCTGCCTACATGCCAGAAGAGGGCACCAGATTGAATTGTAGATGGCTGTGAGCCACCGTGTGGTTGGGAATTGAACTCAGGACCTCTGGAAGAGCAGCCAGTGCTCTTAACCTCTGAGCTATGTCTCCAGCCCCTTGAATCTAAATTTTAAAATTCATGTTGTCGGTGGTGTGAATGGGCTGTGAATCTATTTGCTATAAAGAATTGGGGGTGGGGCTTTTTGTTTGTTTTGGCCCTGGGAATTGACTGTGGTTGGAGTCTTGCGTGTTAAGCAAGTGCTTCACCATCGACCTTATTAAAATGCACAAAAAAGAATCTGTTCTAGAAATTATGATTTCCCCCTTGGTTTCATGCTTTTCACAATAACAACAGTGTGTTTAAATGGCTTCATAAAACTATTTTAATAAGTAATCCCTTCTTGATGGACATTTTCTTTCTCAAGGTTTTAGTAATATAACTTCATAAAGAATATTTTTGTAATCAGGGTTATTAATTTGCCTTTTTTTTCTCTGCTTCTTAAACATTTCTGTTTTCTTTTGTATTTTAGGGATCCAGAAGGCTTACGAGTGTTTTATTATCTTGTCCAGGACCTGAAGTGTTTAGTCTTTAGTCTTATTGGATTACACTTCAAGATTAAACCAATCTAGATTGGATATTGTGGACATGAGGGGGGTGGGAGTTTTTGGTTACCATAATTAGGAATTTTTTCTGTATATTGGGGCAATTTTTATAAACAGTAAATGATGGTCTTTAATAAATTGATAACATCTACTTTTTTGGTTCTTTAAACACCTGAATGTGTGAATTATGTCTCATGTAAAATACAAACATTCATGAGGGCCAGGGAAATGGCCTGACATAATAACCACCATGCACATCCCTAGGACCCACATGGGCCAGCCTGGACTAAGCCTGCCAGCAGCAGAAACAGCAACCCTGTGTCCACAAGGTGGAAGGCAAGAAACAACTGAATGTCTCCACTTGTGCTATGGCATGGGCGTGTGCTAGTGCACACACAACTACTAAGTCATTTTTCTTTTTTCTTGGTTTTTCGAGACAGGGTTTCTCTGTGTAGCTTTGGAGGCTGTCCTGGCACTCTGTAGACCAGGCTGGCCTTGAACTCACAGAGATCCACCTGCCTCTGCCTCCCAAGTGTTGGGATTAAAGGCATGCGCCACCAACGCCCAGCCATATACTAAGTAGTTTTTAATACATTGAGAATTGGGAATCTCATTAGCAACATTCAAAGGAAATTCCAGGACAAGTTACCTGGGTTTTGTTTTAACAAGAGCCTCCCCTTTACTGCCCAGGATGGCTTAGAACTTGAGATCAGTCTCCCAAGTGCTGGGATTACAGGCAGGTGCCATCACACCTAGTTCAATTTGGCTTCTTAAATTCCGAGGGAAACGGAACCTGAATATTTACAAGACAAATCAGTTGCTGGAGTTACAGTTCCGTAAGAAAGCACCTGCCTAGCATTCATGAGGTCTTGGATTTGATCTCCACCAAGATAGACAAAGTAATGCAATATTTGACCCTAATTGGGTCATGATAAAAAAAACTAAAGTTGACATTAAAGACATTCAAACATTGACTGTAGTGTATATGTAAAACTGGGTTTTGTACATGCTAAGCAAGCACTCCACCACCAAGCTACATTTCACAGCTGGGTAGTGTTAGCTTCTTGGGCATGAAAATGCATCGTGGTTGGGCTTTAATTTTTTACAGATCCTGTATTTCAGTGTGAAGTTAAACTGTTCAGCAGGTAGATTGGTAGGAGCTTTCTCTTGCTGTTACATACATTTCATGGCTTTATGCAAACAGCTGGTTAGATTGCACTAGAAGAAATGGGACTTGATAGATTTCATGTTTCTGAAGGGACATGATGAGCCTACACATTCTTAGAGACAGTCCAACCTGAGCTTTCTCAGACTTCATACTTCAGTCTGCCTGCTTCAAGTTAGGGATATAGTTTGTATCTGACAAGTCAGGATGCCAGACCATTGAGATACTTAGAGGCCAGTCTAGTCATGGCAGAAAAAGGAGTTTTTATTTATTTACTTTAATGACACGAGTGGGGAGATGGCTTAGCCGTTAAGAGCTCTTGTTGCTCTTGCAAAGTACCCCAATCCAGTTCCTAGCATCCACACAGCGGCTCACAGCCATCTTTTACTAGGGGATCCGGTGCCCTCTTCTGGCCTTGGCAGGAGCTGCATGCGTGTAGTGCATACACAAGCAGGCAAAACACTCGTGCAAAATTGAAACAAAGACGGGGTTATCCAAGTGTCACGTGGATGACCTGCTTTCCAATATTGATGCCCACGGCTCCTGCAATGTCGGTAAAGATAAAGACCGAAGGGAAGAGCCAGCTGTTTTCAGACATCAGGACCACGCGGACGTGGACACAGCGTATCCCTGTGGGCTACGCAGCTCCAGGTCCGTCATGTAGACCGAGTGAACAGTTTAGCGGAGGGCCACTACGCCAAATCTGCGAGGCTGCAACGTAACCTGACTAGGGACCACAGGGTAGTAAGGGGGCAGAAAGAAAACCGAGGGCCCAGAGCAGTCTGGCAGAGGTTTCAAGCCAGTATGCCTTGCCTGCTTAGTGATGGCACAAATTTAGAATCAGGAACTCTGGCACTAGCGATTCCATGGGTTCCGTCGAACCCACCGAGAAAAGCCCTACCCGGCAGGTTAAGCTGTAAGTAGCCTACACCGCTCACCAACGCCCCATTCCCGCCCACCAGCACTGAGGCTGCGCGGGCGGTGCCAGCCTTTTACGACGGGCCGGAAAGCAGCGGTCGCAGCGGCATAAGGTGGATCAGGCAGCTATGGGGGTAAGAGGAGGCGATTCGCCACCGGAGCGTCCGGTAGCCGAATCCGGAGGTCGGGTGGAGGCGGCGAGGACCTGAGACTCGGGCACTCAAACCAGGAGGGAGTGGAAGGAGTAGGCTCGCGTTGAGGCCGGGGAGGACGGGCTTGAGCTAGGGTGGGGCGGGGCAGACTGATGCGCAAGCGCAGCCATGCATTCAGCCTGGCCCCGCCCTCTTCTCAGAAAATCGCGCTACAGCTCAAAGCCACGCTGGAGAACGTCACCAACCTTCGGCCAGTGGGCGAGGACTTCCGGTGGTACCTGAAGGTGCGGCGGAAGGCGGATACCTCCTGGGAAAGGAAGGAGCATCAGGAGGCAGGGGGTGTCTTAGGGCTCAGGGCCGAGCCTGATCTCAGTATTGAATTGGGAGCATTTCTATTCTACTAGGTCCGAGGTAGTTAACCAGGCATATAAGTGGTTTTTCAGACTGGAATTTTAGATTTTATTTTTATTGATTACTAGTCTCATGTAATCTCGGCTGGCCTTGAGATCTTTAAGTAGCAAGGATAACTTTGAACTCTTGATTTTCTTGCCTCTCCCTTCCGTATGCTGGGATTATAGACGGGTGTCCTCCTCTGGGGATATATCCTAACCTAGGGCCACAAGCTAGCGCATTCCCCAGTCTAATCTCCCCAGCTCTTGGTTTGTCAACAGACACTGAACAAAATGTTATTTGAGGGGACCTTGTGATCATTTAATAAGATGAATAAAACCTTGTTATTTGCTGGCTTAATTTATTGTGAAAGTTAACCACCCTTGTGACCTCACACAGTAATAGTAAATCCAGTAAAACCTGGTGCCCTGTCTGTGTCATCTGTAGCGGTCCAAGCAGTGTGAGGCTCTTCAAATCCCAGATTCTGCTTTATTCTCCTCGTCTATCTCAGCAACTCACAAAGCTATCCAAAGCCTTGTCTTTTAGGAAGTCATAACCAATCACTTTTATTTCCATTTTATCCCCTTGGTACTAGACAAGTGGCCTCCCATTGCACCCACAGCTCCTATTTCCAAATGTTTTGAAGCACGAGTTCCAGGGCTCATTTGAAAAATGAGGTTCTTTGACTTTAAGGACCACAGAATAATGGAGGAGACAGAGTAACAAAATGGTGAATGCTTAACCCCAGCGCTCTTAGTACCCTATGCACAAAGCTCCTAGCCAAGCTGGGTGTTTGGGAGCCTGTAACTTGGATTCCCCAGCCAAATGATACACATTTTAGAGAAGGGCAGGGATGACAGCACCAGAAATAACTTGTTCCTGACTGGAGATAAGTCTGTTTTTGTCCTCATTGGGGCTGGTTGTAAGGTGAGGTAAGAATCACCTAGAAGATAAGCTGTATTAGGCATAGTGGCACTCACTGGGAATCCCAGAAGCAGAGGCAGGAAGATCTCAGGTTCAAAGACAGTTTGGGCTACATAGTGAAAGCCTATATAAAATAAAAAGAAGGATGTGGTAGGCTATGAGCCTGTCTTACACTATACTTACCCTTCCATGGTGTCTTTCCAACTAAGCCAGCTGCTCAACTAATACTCTTTTTCTACTCCAAGATGAAATGTGGCAACTGTGGTGAGATTTCAGAGAAGTGGCAATATATCCGGCTGATGGTAATAGTCCCTACCACACCTACTCTTGGGCATAGATTTGGGGAAACTGGCCTTCATCTCTCTTTCCTTTGAAGTGTGTGTGTGTGTGTGTGTGTGTGTGTGTGTGTGTGTGTGTGTGTGTCTTGAGGCTTGAGAGAGCAAGCACCAATGTGGTCAACACTGGGAACAACAGTTATCTTTGGGAATATGAGGCAGAGTTCAAAACAAGGGGGACTTTTTTTCTCAGTCAGGTGCACTGAGGGATTGAATCCAGGGCTTTGCACATCCTAAACATGCTCTACCACTGAGCTGTCCCCAACCCTCTTGTCACTTGTCAGCAAGTGACTCACTTCTGTGGTCTTAGTCTCTTCTCTGGATAGTAGGGACGGGAGCTCTGGGACCCTTGCACCCAGCTGTTACATGACTAGAGACTGTGTTTGCTTCTTGTCAGGACAGCGTGGCACTGAAAGGAGGCCGTGGCAGCGCCTCCATGGTCCAGAAGTGCAAACTGTGTGCCCGGGAGAACTCCATTGGTAGGTCAGGGGATGACCAGCAGGTTCTTCCGGGCTGACTGGAAGCAGACTTGTGTTGTCCAGGGTGGACTTAGGCCTAAAGTGCTAAGACCTGGGCAGCTCACTCTTTTTCCCTGAGTGGAGCATGGGTATGGATTCAGTCAATTTTTCTTTTTTTGTATTTCAGAAATTTTGAGCAGCACCATCAAGTCTTACAATGTAAGTTTCCTGCTGTGGTAAAGGGTGGTTGGAATAAATCTGAACTGGTGATTAGGAGGAGTGGGTTCAAGAGTAGCTACATCAAAGTGGCCAGCTGTGCCATGTACTTCTTTTGTTTGTTTGTTTCAGACTGGGTCTCACTAGGTAGCTCAGGCTTGGCTCAAACTGATCATACTCCTGTTTCAGCCTCCTGAATGCTGAGATTACAGGCACTTGACACCATGCCCTCTTGCTTATTTACACTTTAATGTACTCAGTTGTTCATTTGCTCAGTCCATCATTTGTCCATCATGCACTGGGTGATACTGCAGTGTTTTCCTGAAAGTACAGTGGGTTGAAAATTTGGACATGGTCCTGGGTAGTCACTGAGCTCATGGGTGAGGGACACATGGATTTCCTGGCTGCCCACTTCCCGAGAGATACCTTCTCCAATTCCCCAGCCCTTGTCCTCATGGCATAGTAGACTGTTTTTCTTCTTGGTGCTGATCGTTTACCCTTCATTGAGCATAATATTAGGGCCTGTGATTGTCTCTTTGTCATTCGAATTCTCGTGATAAACATGTAGGTTTTCCTCAGCTGTATTGACAGGC